TGATTTGCATCTCTGAGGATTAGAGCATTGGGCATCTGTAGGTACTTCTTGGTCCTTTGTGTATCTGCTTTATGTCCTTTGACCTGTGCTGAAGATTATCCTAGTGGCCTAGTGGATCTGTCCCCTTTGTCCTACATTTTTGCTGCTGCCCAATTTAGGTCCTCCTTCTGTAGGGACAGGTAGCCCTGTAGATAGGGAAAGACAGGATAAAGCTCTCATTGAACTTTACTAAGATCAATAAAGAAACTTACTAAAAGTAGTTTCTGCCTTCACAGGTAGATTCTGCAACTAGGATAATTAGAAAGTCAAACGAAGGAAAAGCTAGCTAGATTGGAAGAGGCACCAGGCAACACAATTACCGAAAGCCAGCTCCTCTCACCCACTTGAGCAAAGGCCATAAAAGACAGCATTCTAAGAACTCTTATTTGGTATGTAAAGCACACCTATGCATATACACCAGATACACACATTACACTTGTCCCCTTTACTTCATCGTTAAGTAAGCTGCCTTCTTAGTAAGCCCCTTACCTTCACTTATTCATTACAAAAAACAGGAAGAAACCAAATGGCCAGAAGACCATCAAGAGAACAGATCAGACAGCAACCAGTGCCCACCTGAGGGATGACAAAGATACTAGAACCCAGTAAATGGAGCCAAAGATAAGAACTCCTGGGCTTTGAGCTGTAAAGTCCGTTACCAATGCACAATAGTAGTCTCCTCTTTCTTTTCCCCCAAATAAGCCGTCTTTTGTTATATTAAACTTTGCCTTTGTTTAGCAGCTGTGTTTTCAGCAGAGCAGTGGCATGGTGTGATACATGTTGTGGAGAGCTGGCCACCCCTGGACCTAGCACTCCATAGATTATTTATCTTTGTGCTCCTGTGGATAAACCCAGGGCTATATTAATTCTCTACTATTGAACTACATCTCCAGCCCAACCAACTTTTCTTATTATAATTTTTTTTAGATTTTATTATACATATTTGTGTGTTATATATACTTATTTTTGTTATATTTGATGATGACGATGATTGCTACAGGTGAATGGCCCTTCTGAAACTCATGTTGAAATGTAATTGACAAGGCACTAGTGTCATGGGGGCTTCATGGGTGACCAGACCATGCAGCCCAGCCTTGGAGGGGGGACTTAATGCCTTTCAAAGACAGCTTGCAGGAATCAGTTACCCCTCTGCACTCTTCCTTTTTGCCATATGAGGAGGCAGCCAGGAGGCCCTTGCCAGATGCCAGCACCCAGCCCTGGAAGCACCAGCTGCCTAGATTGGGAGCCAACAGTCTCCCAGTCTCAGGGATGCTGTTGTAGCAACACAAAATGGACTAAGACGATGATAATTATTGTAATTGCTATAAATTGATACTTTGGCTTTTAATTCTTTCACCTTCCAATCCAGTTTTTATTCTGCAATGTGTGTGGGTTTTAAAAATTCATGTCTGACAGTGTCACCCTGACATTTGGTCCTCCACTTAAATGCATGACATCCAGCTCCTTGGCACCTGGCATGAAGACCGAGCTCCATAACTTGTCACCACCTCTACATCTATTCCCACCTCATTCCCTTCTGCTTGTTCTCAGACTAGACCTTCACATCCTAGCAAGAACAAATGCTTATAACTTCTCCATGGCTCATTCTGTTCCCAAGGTCTGTAAGGGCCTTTTTCTTTGCTTTTCTGATGAAGTCTCCTCCTAGGAAACATAGCTGGGGTTATGACATTTGTCTACCCTTCAACCAGAGTCCCTGCTTCCTTCTGAAATCTAAAGGAAAACACGGGGCTGGGGATTTAGCTCAGCGGCATAAGTGCCTGCCTTGCAAGCAGGCAGTCGTGAGTTCAATCACTGGTACCGAAAAAGACAAAAAAAAAAAAAAAAAAAAGGAAATCACGCTGCGCATTTTATAGATCTCAGGGGGGAATGTTTTGTATGTTCATGTGGAGAGCAAAGCAAGAGAAGCTGGCTTTCCTTCTGTCTGGATTTTAGTCTGAATCGTAACGAATTCACATTTACCAGGGTCAGGGGGCAGGATAACGGGGAGGATATAGGATGTGTTTTTCCCTCCAGGTAGAAGTCTCTGGATTACAGTATTTTGGGTGATGGCGCCTGGTTTGTGGAGGTGTGGGCGAGAGTAGATATTCGGTCACAGGTCACGAAATTTTGGCTCTCTCTTGAGTCACTCTGGGAATCTCCGAACTCTTAAATAGTGACAGTAGCAGAAACTTTCTTCTGAGGGGCCAGAAACCAGCCCGCGGCCTCCTGGCTCCACAGCGCCCTCTGGTGCCAAGCTTTCTCTGCGCCTCCGGAAGTGCCTTCCCTTGGCCACGCCCAGGGAGGGGCGGGGGCTGAAGATCCCCGGCTGGAAAGTAAAGGATCCTCCCAGACAGCTGTGCACCGCCACGGTTCACTCCTTCTCTCCCTGTGTGTGTGCACTTAAATGGGTTCCCCAGGGTCTCTGAGCCCTGGAATTGGGTAAGAGCCTATGACTTTTAAAGTGATGTGTACGTATGCTTATGGATTTCGAAAGTTTTCAAAGAAATGTTCTTCCCATCCCCAATTAATAGCCACACAGCTACTTACTCAGGGGGACGCCGGACCAGTACTCAAGGGAGACTACGCTTTAAGAAAGACACACATTCTCCAAGCAGCTAGGATGGGTACCATAGCAAGTGCGTTGCAAGCAGTTATCTTGTGAACAGGCAGTGTGTTCCGGGAAGATTGAGAGAAGGATGGAGAAGGGACAGAGACAAAACTTTTCCGCTTAGCACCTGGGGGGAGAGTAGAGGGAGTGGAGTAGGGAGAGGGACGTTCATTTACTGTCCCCAGTACTCTGGGGTTCACATGCAGGTGATCGCACACAATCAGTAAATCTTAAACAAGCCGGTCACATATTCATATTCTTGTTCATATTTTTACACACACACACACACACACACACACACACACACACACACACACACACGCACACACACACACACATCACGCACGCGCGAGCCCAGTGCCCCACCTGGTGGCAGAAAGGAGAACTTCACTTCTTTCTCCCAGTAATAGAAATGCCAGTACTGGCGATGTAGGTACGTCAACCCGGGGTTTTCCAATCAGACACAGGGAGACAAGAATTGAAACAAAAATCACTGCTCCATACTCAAATCACCGTTCCACGATCAACTTTTTCCGGTACCTTCGAAGTATTTTATTCAACCACAAAATCCCCACCACTCACTACCAGTCCTTAAAGCGGATTGCCTATTTCAGTGCACACAGAGGGAGAGAGGCAGTGAACCAGTGGCGTGCACAGCTGTCTGGGAAGATCCTTTATTTCAGCTGGGGATCTTCAGCCCCTGCCCCTCTCTGGGCGTGGCCAAAGGAAGGCGCTTCCGGAGTGCAGAGAAAGTGACTTGTGTCATTTTTTTTCTCTTTGCTTGATTTCTGCTGTTCGCTGTCATGGACAGAATTACAAATTATACTTCATTTTTTCTTGATTATTTTATATTCTTACTTTATTTTATAAATGGAAACGGGAAGCCACATAGTAACAATAATCTTCTAAACACATAGAAAAGTGTTTCTCAAGGATTTTGGACTCAGAATCCTTGTAGTATCCCTAAGACCTTTGTCTGAGTTGGTTAAGTCTAGCAATACTACAACAAATTAAAAGTAGGATCTTAAAGCGGGTTTTAAAATCCATCTAATAATTTTATGTCTATCTTACATTTTAACTTAAATAGAATATTTTATTATGAATAATAAATATATAAAAATAAATAAATATATAAAATATAAATACAATATTATAAATAAAACTTTTGGTGATAAAATGACAAAACCAGAAATACCTAATGAGAAAAGTGGCTTTGTTTTATTTATTTATTCTTTTTAACAAACTCGTTAATATTTGGCACAATAGAAGGCAGCTAGATTTTTAAAACCACTTCTGCAGTCAGTGTGTTGTACTCTGCTTTGCTGAAATACACAAAGAATACCCAGCCTTACATAGATACATAGTAGAAAAACAGAGGAGCATGTTAATAGCCTTTTTGAAGAATTGCAGATATAGTGCTTGGATGCTGCATCAAAACTCAACTATAGGAGTATCCTAAATGTGCACTCCAAAAGCATATAGATGAAGTTTTCATAGGCTGTCACACAAAATTTCATTGGTTTATCTTGCACTTGAAATGATGCTTTACCCCTGTGTGACTGTGTGACCTTATACATAGGTCACATAAAAGAGATTGATGTTCTGAATTACACTACTTTTCCTAATGTTGATACACATGTATCATACAGTGATTAAAATTGCATTATTTAGTCTGTGGAACTAGGATGAAATCCAGGGCCCTGAACATGTTAGGTAAGTGCTCCACCACCCAGCCACACCCTTCTTATTTTTAAAATTTGAGATAGGTTCTTGTTGAGTTTCCCAGGCTAGGCCAGAACTTGTCTTCCTGCCTCAGCCTCCAGAGTGGCAGGATTACAGATGCACACCACTACATCTGGCATCAAATCACATCCTTAAATATCATCCTCAGTCTTACCAAAGTCTTTACATAGCTGGGAACCTGTCAAACTTGCTTCTCCAGACACAAGTTTTACAACTTTTTGTTGTTGTTTTTGTTGTTTGAAAACTTAAATTTTATAGCTGACAACAGACATTACCACTTGTTTTCCATGAAGTGACAGCTTAGTTAATTTTCATAAAAATGTCTATCCATATCCAATTCTGATTAGCAATAGTCTTTAAGTCAGGTGTTCTTTCAAGCAAAAACGACAGCTAGAAGTGCTGGATACTGCAGAATGACCCAGGTGCGCTGACTGCGTTTAACGTAGCCTAACACTTACATCCCCCTCTTCACCAAGGCTACACACTGCTAACTTTGGTGCCACAGCTGTTTGACCTCTGCTGCCTCAGCATGGAGGGCGAAGGTGGCAAGGCAGTGAGAAAGGCAGAACGCCAGCCCCAGGCTCGGGGACTGTCCTCTGGGAAGCTCTCCGGTGCATCAGGCACTCCGTGGTCCAGGGTGGGGAGGAGATGGCTGGGAGATTTCATTTCATCCCGAACCCGCCCTGTTCCTACCTTCGCTCACCGCAGTGACCGCTCTGGGTGGAGTTCCGCCTACGTGCCTGCTGGGTCCCCAGTTGGAACGCCTTGCTGTGGGGCTTTGAGGTATTGGTTCTGCAGCTGAACCTCAGACAAGGGGAGAGGACACCGGTGGGGTCATGACTGGGGGGGGGCGCTGCATTTGGAAGGAAGCCAAGGAAGGTGTGACCTCCTTCATGCAGAGTGGAGAGAAGCCACTTTCCCTTTCTTCTGCCGCTGAAGCCTTACTTTCTGAAGGACTCTGGAGAGGTTGTCATGCTGGCTGGGATCTTAAAGGAGCTTCTTTGGGCCAAGCCGGTGCCCAGGCCGCTGTGACACAGTCATGGGATGAGGGCAGGGATTTGAGGCAGAGTGGAGAGAGAGCGCTGCGGTATTCAGAGGCATGGGCTTCGGAGAGGGGCGAGGGGGCAGGAATGGGGGCAGGTGAGGCGATCAGTGCATGCGAAGGCTGAGCGCTGGCCTGGGTTGGCACCTGTTTCTCCCAGCCTGGAGGTGGAGGTGGTGGTCACTATGCAGGAGCTAAATTTAACAACAATGACCCAGCTGCCCAGCTGTTGTTTCTTTGTATGTCTGAGCACATTGTTGGAGGGGACAGCAGGTTGTCACCTATGTCAAGGGCAGTGAGTGGCCATGGCTGCTCCTCCCAGGGGGAGGGGAAGGTTGATGCCTGGAGCTTGGACCAGATGGCTTCCCAGGTAGCCCTTTCCCTGTGCCCCTCATCTGGGAGCTACCAACCTTGTTTCAGACCCTAAGGAAAGGCAAGGGTCCTTCCTGAGCCACCAGGGGCAACTTCCTGCACTGGCTGTGACTACAGACACCTGTCAGTGATTTTCCTTGGCCATTCCTTGAATCAGTGAGCTTTATTGAGCACCTACTATGTGTCCAGCTTGGGGCTTGACACTGAGGACTCAGAATGAGTGAGACTTGGTGCTGGCACTGGAGCTTCTCCCAGCTGAATGAATGGATGATGCCGGTATTGTGCTTGCAGTGTAGGGATCAGGACTGCTAGGGTGGGCAAGGCAGGCAGAGACAGAGGGACAGGAGGGCAGGACTTTCTGAGAACATTGAGTCCTCCAGGGTGGCTGGAGCCAGTGGGGTTAAGGGTTGCAGAAGCTGTGAGGAGGCAGCCAGTGAAAGAGAGGGGCTGTCACAGTCAAGCCCCAAGTCCAGGGTGTGTGGGCCATGTGGGAGAGCAGATCAGGAGATACTGCAGGGGGTACAGTGCGGAACCTGGGGCTCCATTAGCTGTGGGATGTAGAGAAGGGAGGAGTGGTTTGGCTCAGGGTGGCCTAGGCAAGAGACACAGGGAAGGATGACGGAAGGCTGGGGCTGTCCCCGAGGACACCCCTCTGACACCCAGGAAGCTCATTTCTGTCCCTTGCTGTCTGCTGCATGGAAGGAGGAGTGTGAAAACAGCAAGAGAGAGCAGGACACTTGGGGCTGGTTCCAGGGGCCCAAGATCATCCCAGAGGCCTGCACAGAGCTGGGGCCTGACTAGAGAGTCCCAACTGCATCCCAGGGCCCAGCTCTGTGGCTGGGACAAGGGCCTCCATGCATGCAACCTATTGAATACAAGAATGGCTGGCTGGCAGTGTGTGTGGGGACCTCCCGAGTCCTTTGGGACCAGAGCATGGGAGACAGGGTGGCGGGGGCTGGGTTGTTCGTGGTTAACTCAGGAGCCTTGCTGTGGGGTGGACATAGGCCAAAGCCAGGCTTCTTACCCAAAATCCTGAGTCTGCCCAGAAGGGCACCTTTAGGTGGCTCTTCAGGAAAGACTGTTAGAAATGCAGACTTCTGGGCCTGTCTCCAGCCCTGCTGAGTCAGAACCTGGGGGTGAGGCCTGTGCCTTGTGTTTGATCAAGCCTTCCTGGAGATTCTGAGCCACCACTGGGCTAGCAAGGGCCTGTCCTGTGGTGTACCATCCCTGTCATATAGGGACAGTCCCTGGAGGCAGCTTTCCCACAGAGATGGTCAGAACCAGATGAGCCACTCAGAGAGAACTAGGGAGTCCACAGAGCTGGAAAAGCCCATCTGGGAGAGGAATATGCTTGCTCCCTGCGAAAGGCCCAGAAGTGGGTCGCTGGTGGAGCATGAGTTTCGGTGCAGTAAGCACTTCCTGTGGCCAGGAGGGGTGCAGGGCAGCTGGGAGGTGGCAGAAGAGGTCCAGGGGCTAGTGTCACAGTGCTGGGGTAAGCTGGGCAGGGGTGATAGCTAAGGTGAGGTGGCACTAGGAGGTAAAGTGTCCTAGTTCCCAGGATTAATGACTGCTTACCTGCTCTTGTGAAAAGAGTTTGTTTCTAGGGCGGAGTCTACACCTGATTTGCTAGTTTACTTCCCATATCCCCTTTCCCTGCCCCACAGGGACAGCCCTGAACCCTTTCACTTATTACAGTGATTTCTGCCCAGGCAGCCTGATCTGCAGGGACCTGCTGAGACTGGCCCTTCGTAGGCTCAGAGACAGCCTGGGGCAGGAGTGGGGTTGCCTGTGGGTCCCCTTCATCCATTTCAGCACCTGGCTGGAGGGAGGAGGCAGGCAGAGAGGCCTGGGAGGATTCAGGGCAGGCCTTGCTGAGACTAAGGAGCAGGAGATCCAGGGAGAGTGGGGAGAGGGTGTGGGGGAAGTCCTGGTGCAAGAAATCTAACCTGTGTGATGAGCTACACCACAGGGCCCCACCCAGCCCCTGGAACCTGCTGTAGCTGCTACAGCCTCTCCTTCCCTTTCACTCACCCCGTCACCGCCACACCCAGGCCTCTCTGGAGGGCAAGCAAGGGCCTTCTCCTTCTGGCGTCTCACAGCTGCAACTAGCAGCTAAAAACCACGTGTCACTCTGTGGTCAAACCTCTTCCGATTCGGCGCATCCAGAATCAGTAATTCAAAACAGTGCTTACAGTTTTATCGTTGGAATGAATTATATAGAGCTTAGAGTGCCCAAAGCCCATTCATTCTAAATTCTTGGTGGAAACCCCCCCACCAGCTGAAGATGATGGCAGGAAGGTGTTTATTGAGCACTTACTTACTATGTGCCAGACCTCTGGCTGATGAAAGAGCTCAGCCTTTGTCAGCTGGGTGCAGTTCTGAGCTCTGCCTCTTCCTTGCTATGGGTTTTGGACAAGCTGCTTAGCCCCTGGAGGTCCTGTTTCCTGACTGGGTGATGGAGTTAAGAATAGAGTCTGTCTCAGAGGTGCTAAACTGGGACTATCCTAAGAACTAATGCCTACCAAGCATTTGGAAAGCCTTTTGTGCACATCACCTTATTTAAAGCCTCTGAGGTGGTACTCTCCATACCAACCCCCCTTTTTTATTGTTTTTCTTCTCTTCTGTTTGAGGAGAGTCTTGGAGGGACTAAGTTGCTGGGTCACACGGGAAGGGAGTTCATGCCCAGCAAGTGACAGAGCTGTCTGCTCTTAAGGTGCACCTACTGACTAGGTCTGTGTTTCTAACACCACCGGCCTTCATGGAGAGTTGATTTGTGGCGGAAATGGATCAGTGACAACAACCTTTGGGTTTCTTTTTTTTTTTTTTTTTTTTTTTTGTGGTACTGGGGATCAAACTCACGACATCACGCTTGCCAGGCAGGCACTTACAGCCACTGAGCTAAATCTCCAGCCCCAACCCTTGGGTTTCTACATCCCTTCTGTTCTAGCTCCTGTGGCCCAGCCATGGCAGGAAGGATGCCAGTTGGCGAGGGCGGGGAGGGGCCTGGGCTTGATTGTCTCCAAGGCTGACAAGCGCTGGGGGAGGGGCTTCTGGCGGGGCAGATGGGTTGGGCTTGCTAATTTGGGCTCCTCTGCTTCCCCAACAATGCCAGGGCGTGGTGACAGGTGTTTGCTTGGAGGGGACAGGCCTTATAGCACAACCCATGGCCTTGCAAGCCTTCACTCTCTTGGCCAGACCTTTCCTTCCCTTGCCCTGGGGACTTTCAAGCCTGGGAGGGACAGGATGACCCTGCAGGCTGGGGCCACCAGAGGCTGGAAACTCCTTCAGCCTCCTCCTCTGCCAACACCTATCTGAGCTTCTCCCACTTTCCCACACAGGCCTCTTCTTCCAGGGCTGGGCTCTCCTGCCTTCTCCTGGCTCTGCCCATCAGTTTCCCATGGAGCTGTGAAGCCACAGAAGCTCTGGGAGGTGCTGACCTTAGAGACGTCCTTGTGAGGCTCAGCTCTGGCCAGGGCCACCTCAGACTCTCCCTGAACACTGTTTATGGTACCGAAGCCTCACACATGCTAGGCAAGTGCTCTGCCCCCCAGCTACACTCCCACCCCTACCCCTTGTCTTTTGTTGGTGTTTTTTGAGACAGGGTCTCACTATGCAATTCAGGCTGCCCTGAACTCCCTCCCTGGGTAGCTGAGGCTGGCCTCAAACTTACAGTGATTCTCCTGCTTCAGCCTCTTGAGTGCTGGGATTGTACGTGTGGGCCACCATGCCTGGCTCATCACCAATTCTTTTAATTTTAATTATATATGTATTTATTTTGAGTTTTTGAGATAGGGTCTTACTATGTATTTCAGATTGGCCTTTTACTCATCACAAAGCACATCCTGGCCTTGGAATCACAGCACTCTTCCTGCCTCAGCCTCCTTAATGCTGGGATTATAGGCATGTACCACCAGGCCTGGCTTCTCCCTGGACTTTTAAGAGAGTCCAAGGGGAAACCATCCACGTTGTGTCAAGGAGAGGTCCTCTAGGAAGAGAGGGGCACACCTTAGAAGCCAGATTCACTCTGGGGTTACTGGACACAACCCACTTTACAAATTAGGAAGTCAAGAGTCAGAAAGCCGGGGCATTTTGCCATGAACCTGAATTTGGGTAGGAGGCCAGAAAGGTCACTGATTCTGCGCAGAGCAGGGTTTACAGATGAAGCTACGTAAGCACTGGAATAAAACCAGTTTCAGCATTATCATGCTGTTCACATGTTGTGTGGATTAAAAGAGGGCAAGTGGCCACCTCAGGAAACCAAAGGAAGACACAGGAAGGAGACGGTGCTAGGACATTGGTGGCAAGCCTAGGGCACGCGTGCCAACGCGGGCACGCAGGGCCTCTCTGTCGGCACACGAGCCGAGTACGTGAGTTGCTTTTTCTAGACTAAAATCTCCACGTTCAGATTTAATTGCGGTGTTGGCATTTTGCGGTAAATCAGTGGGTCTGGGGTTGCAGTTTGGGCCCGCGTCTCTAAAAGCTACGCCATCACTGTTGTAGGAGGGCGGCTGTGCAGAGAACTTTGCTCACCTTGATGGGGAGTAAGGCCTGAAATGCAGCCTATAGCCAGGTGGAGAAGCCCTGAACCCGCTAGGCTGCGTTCACCAGTAGGGGGCACTGTCTTCCAATTTGCACTAAGGCTAGCCGCAGGTTCTGAATCTGTCAGGGTAAAGGCAGGGACAGTCATATTGAGAATTGTTTTTTATATTTATTTATTTTTGAGACAGAGTCTTGCTATATAGTTCAGAGTGGCCTTGAACTCGTGGCGGTTTTCCTGCTTCAGCCTCCCAAGTGCACCACCACTCCCAGCTGTATTAGTATTAAAAGGAAGAATGGGAGGAGAATTAGAAGGAGGTTCAGTATCTGCCTGCTGGAAAAGGAGCCCTGAAGAGGAGCTACCTCGGAGCTGGATGTTTCGGAAGGCCCAGCCCCTGGGCCCTGGGTGTGAGGCTGTAATTTAGGCTGAACTGGGCTGGTTCTCACTGACCCTCTAAGTCCCCCTATCGCCTGCTGGTCCTCAGCACATCTGAACCATGAAGCCCACGGCCCAACAAGCTTTGTGTTTGAGGTTTCCATTGCTACTTTAACAGATCACCACCAATGTGGTGATTCGAAGCAACGTGAGTTTATTATCTTCCAGTTCTGGGGGACAAAGGCCAAAAGCAGTCTCAAGGGACTGAAAGATGGTGTTGGAGCCTGCTTCCCTCTGCAGACCTGGGGTGGGGGTCTTGCCCTGCCTTCCTTTCTAGTGCTTAGAGGTCCCCTGTGTTCCAAGGTTCATAGTCACTTCCTCCATCGTGAAGGCAACAGCCTTGTGTCTTCTCTCCTCTGTCTTTCCTGTGTCCTATGTCCTGTCTTCTTTAATTTTAATTCTTTAATTTAATTCATCCTCCTCCTCAGTCTCATCAAGGCCCTTGAGATCAGATCATGCCCCTGTAGATAATCCAGAATAATCTCCATGTCAGTCTCTAACTGAATTGCATTTGCTCCATTCCTTTGTCACACAAGGTGACATTTTCACATTTCCATTCAGTCATGGGGGGAAGCATCAGTTCAGCTGGCCACAAGGTGCTCTGCCTGGTACACGGCCTGGGCCATGACCTGGTCCTTATGTAGGAAGTACCCTCCATGGCCACTGGGCTACACACAAGCCCAAAGCTCCAGCTCTGTTCCTGCTCTGTAGGCGAAGTGGGAAGTAGTGACCTGGGCCTTGGACAGTAGTGTGCTGTGAGGAGGTGACCTCTGTAGCTAAGGTGGGCAAGAGAAAGGCTGCAGAATCACACTTGCCCAAGACAACCTGCAGGGCAGCAGGGCAGACATATCCCCTGCAGGACCTTGGTGGGGTGGGGACGCTTCCTGCCAGGGATCACGGGCTGTGAGGGGCTCTGGGGTCTTCTTCTCCTGATGCATAGATGGAGGAAGGCAACGGCAGAGACTCCTGGGTGTAACAGGTTTGTGTGTGCGTGTTTGTGACAAGGTCTCCCTAAATCGCTAAGGCTGGGCTCAAGCTCATTATCTCTTACCATGGCCTCATGAGCACTGGATTATGGGTGTGCAGCACCACAGCTGGCAAGTCTTATTTTTGAAGGTCATCTCTGAGCGGACATCGAGGGAAAGAACCGAGAGCAGTCTCTGTGCTGGAGGCCAAGTCACTTCTCTCTCCATCCCTGAGCTGGTGTAGAGAGCTGGATGCACATGGGGTACAGGACCGGTGGTGTGGGAATGGACTCAGGACCCTGGACCCCTTCTGCCTAACAGTCAGAGGATGAACAATGCCACAGGTCTTTAAGTCTCCACAAGTGGAATCCCTGGCTTTATGGCTCCTTAGAGAGGAGCCTGTTTTTTAGGCTTGTCTTAACCCTCTTTTGGGCTTCTGATTATCAGGGCTTCATTTTTTCCCTTTCCAAAAGCAGGATGATTCACTTACATAATTCGTTTTTTGGCATATATTGCAGTTTATAGGAAAATGAGTATATAAATGATAAACATGAAAAGACAAAGGCACCATGCATAGTGGTACATACATGTACCTAGTCAAGAGGCTGAAGCAGGAGGATGCCAAGTTTGAGGCCAGATTAGGCAATTTAGTGATGCAAACTTTGTCTGAAAGGAAAAAAGAAAAAAAATGAGATAAAAGAGTATAGTTCAGTGTTCCCTGGGTTCAATCCCCAGTACTGAAAAAACAAAAAGAAAAACAAAGAAACAGACAAATCGATAAACCCCAGCAGCCTCCTCCCCATGGTGCCTAATTAAAGGCGCCTGCCTTTTCCACCCTAGCCCCTCCACTTGGACTCCTATGTCCTCAACCCTATACCTTCCCAGGCCTTGTCCTTGCTCCAAGGCAGCTTTCCAGCATGGCTTGTCCCAAAGTCAACATGCCTATAACAGGATCAAAGCCACCTCTCATAGGCAGCAGAATGTTGGTGTCCACAGGACAGAGCTTTAGCTTTCTGTGGGCCCTGAAGGAGCAGGCGTGGGCACTCCTGCTACCAACCTTTTCTCCAAAAGTGAGGAGCACCGTGAGAGCCCCCCTTACCTCCTGTGGCTCTCAAGGCCTCTCCCTGGCCTCCAACAAGGGCCAGTGTCCTGCCTGCCCTGCCCCAGCCTGGGATCCTGGCTCATGAGATGACCGACTATAATAGCCACAGGATTAACATAGCAGGCATTGTCTTTCTCTCATTATAGGGTGGGTATTATGTGTTCATCAACAGGCCTAAAAATACCCAGCAAACAGGTGCAGCCTGTGGCCCCCAGCCTCCTGGAGTGGGCCAGCCTCTAGCTGGACATGATTAGGTGGGGAGAGGTAACTTGGTCTTACTGAGATTCAGGCGTGGACAGAACCTGGGAAATGACACCACCCACAAGGTTGCAGACCCTTAGCCTTTATGAGCATGAAGGTGGCCTTGCCTCCAGGTGGCCCACGAGCACACCTGGAGCCCTGGAACCCTCCTGGTGCCCTCGACATAGGAGCAATTCTCCAAAGCAAGACTTTGGCTCTCTGGGGTTTGTTGGACTGTGGGCTGGGACTTGATTTCTGTGTTTCTTTGCAGGAGAGGTAGGGTCAGCTTGGTGGCTCCTTGCTGGTTTCCCTGGGCCTCTCAGTATTCTGCTGTCCCTCATTACCCTCCCCATCTCTGCCCAGTCCTCAGATCTGATCTGGCTCTTCAGTCTCTTTTCCCTCCAGGTGGGTGCTGGCTTAACTCAGTGGGTGTCCTCCATGTGTACAGCATCTATGTGCACACACACTCGTCTTCCTGCCCATGTGCCTGTCGTGTGTGTGTGTGTGTGTGTGTGTGTGTGTGTGTGTATCACAGTGTTTGTGCCCCGAGGTGTGTATGGCGGGGGAAGGGCAGTGGGCTGTTCTATTTTTACTGGCCAGTTGCTGTTGGGCACAGTTTTCATAGCCTGCCCCTGGCTCTGCCCCCCTCAGTCTGCAGTCTGCGGGGAGGCTCAGCCCAGCCCAGCTCCCCAGGATTGAACAAGGTAAGTGTCTGCAGCCTAGGACTGTGGACCTGGGTTGTGGTCAGGTAGGGAAGCTGGGGTTTGCTTCGAGGAGAAAGTGAGTGCTTCCTGCCTGCCCGATGAGCAGTCCCCAGGTCCCTCCAGTTTTTTATCCTGTGGAGTGGCGTGTCTCCTGCAAGGCAGCTATGGGGACTAAGCTTCTCTAGGGCAGGATGTCTAGCAGCCTCTTAGAGCCCCGAGGCAGGGCTTAGTGGATCTTGTTCTCTTGAGGCATTGCCTAGTGGGTTGCAGAAAGATTAGGGGAAGAGGGTGGCCCTGTGGCCCAGAGCACTGAGGCTGTGAGCTGTGTTTACTGTTTGGGAAGAGCCTGGTGCGCAGTGTCTGCAACAGGAGAAAGAAAGAGCACTGGCAAGTGAGGTGTTGGGAGCTTAGAAGATGAGACCAGAGCCCCTGCTGCCCGAGGACTCGGTCTCGCTTCTTTGTTCTTTGCCTCTGAAGGATACGCTTAGCTCGCTTTGTGTGTCCATCTGTTCCGGAAGGCACATGCAGGTGGGGGCTGACTGCCAGCCCTGCTTTCCCATGGCAGCTCTGAACTGCTGGAGGTCTTCTTGGGGTGGCAGGTTTTGACAGCACTGAGGGTGGGTTCACAAGAGCCCATGACCACATAACTTGGGGCAGCATCTGGAATGTGGTCCCATATGGGGAGAGAACTAAAGGCTAAAGACCACAGATCGTCTGTACACCTGTCCCTCCAGCACCATCCCAGGTCTGAGGCTCGCAGCCCCAAAGCACTTCTGAGGTTAGGGCTTTCCTATTAGGAGCCCACAGGGCAAGGGGCTGGGGTGTGGTGACAGGTGCTGGCCTCAAGCTTGGGGGTCCAGCCTTGTTAGCGGTCAGTGAGAAGCCGAGAATGCCCTTGAGCTGGGGTCCAAGGACGAGGGATGGAAGGTGGGGCACAACGAGAGCCTGACTAGATGTCTGTGTCCTCTCTTGCTTTTTTGTGATACACACACACACACACACACACACACACACACACCCCTAGACTTACTTACACACACATGCAGCTTTCATCCTACCTCTTGTTGCCTGGCCTTTCCACCTAGGGGTCCAGGGCAGGGAGAGCTAAGCCCTCAGGCAGGCAGTGTGGACTCTTCTCCCTCCCTCCAATCATGGGCTTTTGGGTTATCTCCTTGTTTTTCCTTTGTGCAGGAGATGGAATCCAGCCCTCTAAGCCTTGCATTTGCTGCTATCTACATCCTGACTTCTTATCAGGCCCCTGCTTATCTTCCCCACAGCCTGTCAAGGGGTCTTGTCTGGCAGGTGTCAGAGTTCAGGTCAGGCCTCATGCCTGATGTGGGACCCCTGGGTCTGGCATTTGTCAGCAGGACAGGCCCTGGGGCTTGGCAGGAGGCCCGACACTAGAGACAGGGGCCCTCTGAGAGAGAGGGAAGGGTGATTATGGCAGAACACCTACCACAAGTGAGGCCCATCCCAGAGAAGACAGACACAGGACTTCTAGGCTGAGACCCGGTTCCATGTGCAGACCAGCACTCCCAGGAGACAGACAGACTTGGTGGCTTTAGAGGAGCAGAGTGCTTGGAATAAGCAGCTGCCTATAAAATCTAATTTCAGCCAAGCATTTGTGGAATTTACAGATCGTCTGTACACCTCTCCCTCCTTGCCCCAGGGAGACAGCTGGGACTCTGGGGTCACACTCCGCCACTCCCCCAACTCTTCCCCCCCAGCCTCACACTCCCGTGGGGCCGAGGCAGAGGCGTAGGCAGGGTCGGTCCAGGAGGCTGTCTGACTGGGAGGGATTCAGGAGAGCTGACCAAAAGCTGAAAGCCCTATTGCTGGGACTTGGAGGACGCTTCGTGGCAGGATGGAAAAGGAGAGAATGGGCAGAGGAGAGGGGCTCTGGGTGAACCTCCCGGTAGGCACCTCGCAGGTGGCCTTTGGATTCTTCCCTCCCTGATCTGAGCCAGGTTCTTGACTGAACCAAGTCTTGAGCACCCTGAGCTGCCTCCTCCTCAGTACACAGGGACCCTCACTCCACGACCTAGCAAGACTTCCTGTCCTGCCTTGCAAGCTTTTCCCAGGGCCAGCTGCCCCTTTCCCCTAAGCTCTGGCACAGTCTCTCCCTCCACCTCACCTGGGCCAGGCAAGATGGCAAGTGAGCCTGGCTCTGGGACACCTCACCTGAGCAGCGGCTATAGCCTGCTCCTCAGCCACATGCTCACAGAGGACAGCAGGCTCCTGGCAGCTTCTCTCAGCCAGCGCTGTCCTGTCCTGTGGACTGAACTTGTTCGGCTTCCAAGGAAGATGTGGTTCGAATGAAAATCTCATATTAAGTGGGAAACCACTTACGCAAGTCCTTCATTTCACAGGGAAGAAAACTGGCCCGTAGAGGGTAAGGAAAGACTGCAGCCAAATGCAGGGTCCATCCGGATTCTAGGTTCACCTCCTCCTTTCAGGGCCTCCCACACCCTACCAAGGCTGCTAGGCCCCCTGGCATTGTGCCATGTGGTGGCTGCCTGTAGCTCCCACCATTCCATTCTGATTTCCCTGTGAATACACTCAACTTCAGCGTGGCCCTGGAGTTTGCCCTCACCAGGAGCCCCATCGGTGCTTTCTGTAGTGAGTTCCCTTCTGTTCTCTAAGGGGCAGGCTTTCCCTGGAAAGGGCCATGTGTAAATATTTTAGGCATTGCAGGTCACTTTGGGTTTTTGATCACAGATTCTTTCTTGTTTGGTTTTACCACTGTTTAAGCAAAATCTGATTTGGGGCCATTTGTCCCGGAGAGTGTAGTTTGCTGACTTTTGCCTTGATGGAATTCATAATATCCAATTTATAAAAATTCTTTAATTAATTCATTACTTTCTTTCACCGTGTTTGGGGTTGGCACAACCAGGTCTCAACCTAGAAGTCCTGTGTCTGTCTTCTCTGGGATGGGCCTCACTTGTGATAGGTGTTCTGCCATAATCACCCTTCCCTCTCTCTCAGAGGGCCCCTGTCTCCAGTGTCGGGCCTCCTGAGCTACATCCCCAACCCTTTAAAAACATGCTTATTTTGAGGTAGGCTCATGAAATGGGTAGGGCAGCCTTGAACTTGTGATTCACTTTTCTTAGTCTCCTTAACTAGTGAGATTACAGATGTTTGCTGTAACATGCCTTTTAAAAAACGCTTTTAACATATGCCTATTTAGCAGCATTAAAAAATAGGTTTCTCACACACATAAGCAATCATTCTTTTTTACAGATTCATAATACAAAATGCTGAATAATATTGCAAATTATAATAAAAATTTGCAGCCAAGTTCTTTAAGAGTGAAAGGACAAAAGATTTAAGAATTATTTTGTTAAATTTCTAGTGCAGGCACAAAACAAGAACGAGGGATATTATTGACAATAATCTTCCAAATGACTCTTTCCCAGTTCTTCATTTCTCTGTTTCCCCTTTCCTTACAAAACTAAGGAAGCAGACGCTGTGTACCAGAAGTATAGAATTGTTAAAAACCAATTGGATGATGAGACAGCTGTCACTTCACAGGTCTCTGATACCCCTTAGCAAACTGTACGCCACTGAGAAAGTGACCCTGTGTCCAATCTTGTATTTGGCTGCTTTCTTCCTGCCATTTGATTCTCCTAGTTGGGCTGTCTGACTTCCATGTCCCAGCTGTGTGGGTGACTGGAAGCGTGAGTCGAAAGTTTTCCCATTAACGATTCCTCTGTGTCCCCCCAGGTGCCGCCCCGCCTCCATCATGCCGGAAGTGTAAGTCATCTTACCCCCATCTAGGCTTCCAGGGACAAAACCCAAGTCATTTTGTTGCCAATTTTAGCCCCACAGTTGAGGACAATTTGCTCAAGCTCTGAGTGTCTGGATCCCCAGGGTGGCCAGGTGTCCCCCAAGCCTTTGGACAGATAGCAGTGGGAGGACATTTATGGTCTGTGTTTTAGAGTTTGCCTGCCTGCATGATCTAATGAACTGACTGTGCCAGGCCATGACTTCACACTGATCCAGCAGATAAGCAAAGCTTTGGGAATTGACCCAAAGCCTAGGCAGGGAAGCGTCCACATTATTGCAGCCCTCTGTTAGGGGACCCCTGACTTCCTACCAACCCTTTCCAACTTCCACTGACTATGGTTGTTGGGTTTTTATTCTATTCGGCTGGAACCCTCAACCTTGACCTGCTGCCTGGGGCCTGATTTCTTTGGGGAACATTGTTGTCACCTGCCACCTCATCCCCCAAGTTCGTCTCCATGGTTCTGCTGCTATATATATGATGTACTTTATTCATACTCTGTGTTCTGATCTCTCCTCCATCCTTCCTGTGCTGTACACCTGAAGCGAGGTGAGTGATATTTGGGGCGCCCGTGTGCTGATAAATTCTTGAGATTGGTGAAGGTGGGGTGGGCATTTGAGGATAGATTGTGAGTCAAGGCTGAAGTGATGTTGGGGATGCCCAGGGGCTCAGAAAAATTTCCAAGAGAATTGGACCAAGAGAATTTGGTGTGGGGCTTGTTAGGATCTAGGGAGTTGCTGCCCCAGTGCCTAATGTCACTAGCAGTGCTCCTGGGGGCTGGGACTTGATGCAGCAGATTTTAGTGTGACTTTACACTCTCGCTAAGTACTGTTATATTAATATGCTAAAAATTAAAATAATTGATTAAAAGATAATTAACAAAAATAGTTACTTAAAAAGATAATTATTAGTAATATTGTTATTCTGTACTGAGCTCATTACCCTAGTAACCAAGCACCAACCACAGTTATAAATTAACTGACCAAGTCGTTCTGCTGTTCTGTAATGCGTCATCCCCCACCACCTTACTGACCTGTGTGCTATGTCAACTTTTGTTCCCCTTGTGAGAGACAAATGATGCCGTGTCAACCATTGTTCCCTTTATGAGAGACAAATGTTCCTGGGATTGGCCGACCAAGGGCTATGAATTGGCTAACCACCCACTGTGAAATGCCTCTGACCTCAAGCAAAGGGGAGCAAAGGCCCACCTTATTTCTGTTTCTCATCACTATGTACTTACTGATCAATGAGCTAATCATAAATGAACTATAAAAATCAGTCAAAACTCTAACTCAGTTGCACAGCTTTGCAAATTCCATCTGCACTGTGTCGCTGGACCAGCTAAAATAAAAGCGCTTCTTTTAAAAAGACGTCTTGCCCCGTTTTTCATCATGGGGCCCTGTTTTTTAAGTAGAGTACAACAAGTACAAGTTCCCTTTCACTGCTCTGAAAGCTCCTCCTTCCTTGGAAGGTCCATTCTCTCTTGAGAGCTGATCCTGTACAAAATTACGTTTGAGGGTAAGAGTCCTGGCCCAATGCTGGAACACTGAGGCAGGAACAAAGTCGTGCCCCTAGATCCTCTCTGGTCTTTGGTTACTTTGACTTTACATGTTTTCCACAATCCAGGAGTTTTATTCAAGGCTGCTGAGGATACATCCATGTAGGTCCAGGGATGGCATCTATGGGACAAGGCTGTGGACTTTGTGACAGCAAAGGTGTGACTTTGGAACACCAACCAAGGGAGCTGCGGCCACTCACAATGAGAATCACTCGTGCTCTTTCTCAGAGGTTACATGGGTTTCTAGGCTTAACTGAGGTTCTCTGTTGACGGATGGCTGAATGGTGTGGCCATGTGCTCACCACATGGTGGGGACAGAAGACTGCAATAAAACCTTTGCTGCAGGAGCACCACAGTGTGCAATCTATAGCACCAGGCCCTGTCTCAAGGTCATGGGTACAGAAGGGTAGCAATAGTGTAGGCCTTGGAGTAGAAAAGATAACCACTCTGAATGCTTGGATCAGAAGTTGCACGTTCTATGGGCTAAAGTTCATTCATCTTCTCCTAGAACTGCTCACCTGAAGCCTAATCATTTCCATTCTCCACAGCACAGTCAGGAACTAGAGCTCCCCAGTACCCAGCACCTCAGAGGAGCATAGAGAGCCCACTGATAGCAACAGAGAGGTAGCCTATGGCCCAGAAGAGACCCGAGTACTCAAAGTCCTCAAGGTCTTAGTTGGGGTGGGGTGGGGTATAGGCAGGACTCTATTATCACTGCCACAAGGCTGCAAAGTTTTCTCTTTCCTTCCTTCCTTTCTTTCTTTCTTTCTTTCTTTCTTTCTTTCTTTCTTTCTTTCTTTCCTTCCTTCCTTCTTTCCTTCCTTCTTCCCTTTCTCCTTTCCTCCCTCCCTGCTTCTCCACTTCCCCCTCCTTCCCTCTTTCCCTCCTTCTCTTCTTTCTGTTTTTGGTGTGATACAGGGGTTTGAACCTAGGGAAGGGACCACTACTCCTGAGCTACAACCCCAGCCCTTTTTATTTTGATGCGAGTCTACCCCAGCTGGCCTCAAATTTGACATCCTTCTTCTTCAGCTAACTGAGTAGCTAGATTACAGGTGTGTCCCACCATGCCCAGCATGAGACCTATTGTTAAATATTAAATTGGCAAGACTATATCTAGTCTTTTGATAAGAAAACAATCTTATTACATATTAGAAAGCTTTATACATACAGTGTTAACATTTTGATGCCTATATAGGTGATGCACTTATTTAGGTGATGCACAGTATATGCTCCTGGCATGACAGAGCTGCAAGATATTGCTGTTACTTATTTCCAGAGTGCTACAGTGTGCTTCTCTTTTAGGTTTTTGAAACTATTGACACACCTGTGCTCTCATTTTTTGGTCACAGCTCTGTGAATGAAGTAAGGTGATCTTGGCTCCTGCATTTATAGACAAGGAGGCACCGTGTGCTCTGCCCAGTCTCTTACAGAATTCTGCCTATAGCAGAACCAGGATGGCAATGCAGGGCCTGTGTCTCTGTGTCAAGTTCTCTGAATTTGAGGAGTTAAACACAGATGAGCTTGAGATGCTGAAGTGAGCAGAGAATTCTGGGTAGTAATGGTGAACTCAGCTGGGGCTCATCTTGAACCAGAATTCCAGTTTCATGACCTTTGTCTCACCACCTTTCTCTCTCCCTTTTCACTCTCAGAGAAAACCAAAGATCACAGCTTCTCGAAAACTCCTGCTGAAGGTGAGATGGGGTGTTGGCCAGTGGGACCTTGGGGGCCAGCTGTGTGGCCTGTAAGGGCTGTGGAATATGTGGAACCCAGAAAGGAAGGGGCTGGGGCCTGGCTGATGGGAGGCAGAGGCAGCTGGCATTGCTGGAGCCAGACCCAGGTGGCCAGTGGCTAGGGACCTGGGATATCCCTGGCACCCTCCTGGGTCCTCTGAGGAGGCAGTGACCAGCTGTAGGGTAAGACTCTGCAGTGGTGGCAGAGGGATGGGATTTCTTTTTGAACATGTTTCTCTTGGAGCTGTATAGGCCAAAACTCACAAAAATGGGTAAGAGAAAGACTGTGTGTGCACTGGGGGAGAGGCAAGCCGAGACCAAGGATGTTGGGTGTGGTTACACAAGGCCCCCTGGCAGCCACCACATGATTTCACAGAGGGACCCATGTTTTTAGAGCTGGCCTTGCAGGGCCATTGTCCCCTCTGTCCCTGGTGCTGGGTGGGAAACACGAGGACTAGCTCCAGCTAGTGGTTTCTCCTGTCCAGAGCTTGATGCTAGCCAAGGCCAAGGAGTGCTGGGAGCAGGAGCATGAGGAGCGCGAGGCTGAGAAGCGGCGCTACCTGGCTGAGCGCATTCCCACGCTGCAGACCCGAGGCCTGTCACTCAGTGCCCTGCAGGTGAGCCTGGCAGGTGGGCAGGTGGGGGGGTTCACATTGGCGCATGAGGTAGAACTGAGCAGGGCTCAGCAGCTGTGTAACTCACGAGGCACTCTTCCCTATGTGGCCTCATGTTATCTTCCCAACCACCCGAGAGTGAAGAAGTTAGAGCCCATTTTACAGGTAGGGAAAGTGAGCCCTAGAGAGCAGAAGGGACTTTCTGATGCAAAGATCTAGCCATCTACCAGACTTTACAACAGTCACTGGGGATGGTATGGAGCGGTGAGTGGCCCTGCTCAGGAAGCCCTGTTTCTCCAGAGACTCAGCTCTCCTTCCCTGGAGGAAGGCCTTGCGTGTTGTTAAAACACTGGTACTTGTTTAAATGCCAGCAATTGCAGAGAAAAAGGACTGGAAGGATAACTATCAAAATGTCATCAATTGTTATTTCTAGGAAGTGGCAACACTAGTTCTTTTTATGTTGTTATTTTTTGTTTAATGCATAGTATTCAAAATTCCTGCACTCAACTTACAGTATTTTTGTCATGTAAAAACTGTGTCTTTTTTTTCCCTTTGTACTGGGGATTGAACTCCAAGTTTGTCCGACAGGTGCTTATGCTGCTGAGCTATATCCCAAGCCCCAAAATTGTATCTTTTTAAGGAAACAAATCTGTAGGGAAAGGAGAGCAAAGGGCTTTGCTTTGAGCTGTCATCCTCAGAGGGAGCCTGCAGACTGGGGGTCTCGCAGAGGAGCCAGGGAGAGGGTACAGGGCAGGCAGGTAGAAAACAGGCTGGAGCCTGTGGCTCATTCCCTCCTGTCTACTCGCGCCCATCCATCTGCCTTCCCAGGACCTATGCCGGGAGCTGCACGCCAAGGTGGAGGTGGTGGACGAGGAGCGGTACGACATCGAGGCCAAATGCCTCCACAACACCAGGGAGGTGAGCTGGGGGAGGGCGAGGGGCACAGCTGGTGGCCCCGTGAGGCATGGTGGGCACAGATGCTGGTCCTGCCACATTCTGTGGAACCTGGGAGGTGGTCACACAGCAGGAGAGTTTGGTTTCTCCAAGCTAGTCCCACAGAGCTGGAGATGGGTGGGAGCATAATCACACAGGAAGAGCACAGCCTTCCTTCCCACCTGCTGCATGGCCTCTTCAGAAATTGCCTTCTTTATTCACCCACACAAGTAATCAGATGCTGTTAATGACATCTTAGCTTTGTGGAGAGCTTTCATGTGCGTTATAGCCTTTGATCCTTCCTGCATGCCTGGGGGTAACGCGGATGAGGATGCTCAGGTTCAGAGAGGCTAAGAGCTCAGCCCGGGTCACAGCATGGGGATCCTAGCATCTGTGCTGGCTCTGATTCCTGCTCCACTGGGCAGGGAAGATGGAGAAGGGCAGGCTCTGGCTGCTGTTGTGGCTGCTCTGGAGCATTTTCCAAGCAGGGATGGGTATATCGGTGGGGGGCGGGGGGACAGCTTAATTCCCTCCTCTTCCCCTTTCTGCCCAGTGGGATGATGATCTGTGGGATCACCATGGGTGATGATATGTGAGAATTCTTGCAGAGGTCTGGGGCCCAGAGTCTTTCTCTGCTGGGGCAGGGCTGGAAGCTGTAGGGAAGGCTCCTGGGGCAGCAAGCCTTAGCAGGAGGGAGACTGGGAACCAGAGGAGACAGCTCCCATTCCAGGGAGGGCTCAAGGCAGGGGTGATAGCATGGGGGCCACACGGATGAGGTTAGATCATGGACTTTGTCTGTGTTCCTTTATCCTTCAGTGCATGTGGGGTGGTTATTTACAAAGGACAGATGGTCCCAAGTATCCCAGAAGGTCTGGCTTCCAGGATGGAGGACTTGGGGTATAGCTCTGGCAGGAACACTGAGGCCTGATGTCCTTTGGCAGGTAGCTCTGTGGCCAGCTGCCCCTTGAGAGAGCATGACTTTTTCTTGCCTGCAGATTAAGGATCTGAAGCTGAAGGTGTTGGACCTCCGTGGGAAGTTCAAGCGCCCACCACTGCGCCGGGTCCGTGTCTCAGCTGATGCCATGCTCCGAGCCCTGCTGGGCTCCAAGCATAAGGTGTCCATGGACTTGCGGGCCAACCTCAAGTCTGTGAAGAAGGAGGACACAGAGAAGGTGAGGGTCCTTGCCCATCAGCCTTCACTTGTCACTCTTCAAACAGCCTCCAGTGGGCCTAGAAGCCTGTCAGTCAGAACATTCTAGAATCCTCTAGAAAACCAAGGGTAGAGAAAGAAGACTTACTTCTTTTCCTTAGTCTGCTTCTAGTCTGTAGGGCAGACTGGCATACAGAAAAGACTAGATGGGGAATAAAGCCTCTGCTTCCAGTGTAAAAAGAACATGGGTGATAGGCAAGACCACGGCCTCTGTCACCACAGGAAAAAAGAGATGACTGTTCCATGTGGTACAGAGAACTGAGTTCAGTCACTTGCTCGGTCACAAATCTCTCCAAGTTGGCAGATCTCACAGTATTCTGTTCCCGGATTTGGAGCCTATAAGATGTCATGTGCCGTGGAAGGAACAAAGGTAATAGAAACATAGTCCCTGGCCCAGAAAGCATCATAAAGAGAAGAAATGGGCCTGAGAATAGGCAAGGAAAATGGAAAATGAGCAGAGACAGCCAGGAAGGCTTTTTGGAGTAGGTGGCCTTGAGCTGCTGGGCATCAGAAAAAAGGGCCGTATGGGGCATGGAGTGCATTGGGGTGGGAATCGGCCCACACACTACCATGATCACCCACAAAATTCTCCCTCCTGTGGCTCCTCAGTTGCACCCATGTCTCTTATCTGGCTAAGTCTTCATCACTCACTGTGGGTTACGGTTGCTGGGATTTCCTGTTTTTGAGGAGGTGGAATTCCTACAGGCCTGTTTCTCTTGAGCATGGGGGGTCCTGGTTGTGCCTCCAGCCAATGAGTCTCTGCTATGTCTGGTCTACCTCAGGAGCGGCCTGTGGAGGTGGGCGACTGGAGGAAGAATGTGGAGGCTATGTCTGGCATGGAGGGTCGGAAGAAGATGTTCGATGCCGCCAAGTCTCCGACCTCACAGTAGAGGTACCTCGAGATGGGCTCTTCTTCTGGGGGACTCTCAAGGTCTGCAAGGTGACTCGGTGCTCCAGGTTGACGCTGAGAGGGCACTTGATGTATGCAGGAGAAGGGGCACTGGCGAGACTCAGCTCTGAGCTTAGGCCTTCTCCAGCACCATGAGACCCTGGGTAATTCATTCCTGCTTGGGGCCCTTTCTGTTCCCATTATATGAAACATTAGGGTCGTATCTGATCAGAGGTTCTCAAGTTTGATCCTGGGGCTGCACCCAGAGATGCTGAATTGGAAGCTGTGGGGCCAGACATGCTGAGGGTGAGAACACTGGGTTAGACTGTCCTGGGGTCCCATCTCTCCCAAATGCCTCCCGAGGATGTCCTTTACTTGTGTACTCTGCAAAATCCTCAGCATTCACACTCCTTCCTCCTGGTGAGGTGCCAATCAGAGCAGATACAGCCTCCCACCCTCTGAAGAAACATGGGGAGAAACTGGACATGTAGAATTAGGCCCCCTGAACCCCCCTGTGGGAGAGCTGGGAGGCTGTGCAATGGGGTGGGGTCTGCAGAGAGGACATGGCACAGCAGGTTTCTGGACAGAGGCGCTCTCTGAGCAAGTGTTTGCTTGAGGGACTGAAGGTGCCACAAAAGCACAGAGGTGGGAATGAGCCAGTCATGCAAGACCAGGTGAAAGCCCAGGCAGGGTCTACAGAGGGGAGGGAACTTGGGTCTCGGGCTGGGGAGCTGAGCAGGAGCCTCCATGGATGGATTCAGCTTAGGGCATGCTAGGGAGGAGAAGCCCCAGGAATTGCAAGTGTTGTGGGTAAAGCAGGCCTTTCTAAATGGCACGTACCACTCGGAACTGATGGCTTCTGCTTCTTTGTCCCCACAGGACAGCTTGCTATGGGGTTCCTGCTTCAGGCGCCTTCTTCCACCCTGCTCACCTATCTCTCTGTCCCATGTCCAGAGTGTATCCCTGCGCCCTTTTCCTCCAGCCTGCATGATCTCCTCTGGAACCTGGATGAATCAGACACTCAAGGGAGAGGAGAGATGCACATCTGAGGACCTCAACCCAGCAGAGCAGGCTTCCAGCCCCACAAGGCACCAAGGGCTTCCTGGCAGAGATGCAGAGAGCTGAGGAGTCAGGGAGAGCATCCCACTGCTGCTGTGATGTGTAATATCAATAAGCATCACGTCCTCTCCATTAAAAATTCAGTTTCCTAGTACTTTCTGTAGCTTTGACGGCGAGTGCTCACCAGAAAAGGAAGATAGCAAGTTTGAGTGGGAAGGGTTGGGCCAGGCCAAGTGCTATGTGCACTCAGGAACTCAGGATCAGAATGGGGGGGGGGAAAGGTGGCTGCCTGCTAAGGTCCACTGTGGTCCCCATGGGGTGAGCTTTTGTCACTCAGTCCTGGTGACATCCTCGTAGCACACACTGGATGCTCATAAAAGCCCTGACCTGTGAGGACAGACCTGGTCCCATTTTGGACTCCAGCCATCAAGAAAGTCCCTCTGTGGAGTCACTTGTCCTGCCCAGTGTCTCTGACACCTGGATCATCTGGTGGTCCAGAGGGACATCTTGCAGTTTTAATCCTGGCCACTAGGTGGCTGCTCTATCACAGTCTGGTCCTTATTATTTTTCCCCTCAGCTCTGCACTGATTGTATTCACCGGGGCTGCCCTGAGGTGGAGCAGCAGTCGTCTGTCCCCTGGGTCAGGTCCTTTCTTCATCTCACTAATATCTGAATCAAAAGCCAGGTGCAGGCCTGCTGGGGTGGCACGTCGGACTAGGGCGGCCCTTTCTTCCCCACACGTGGAGGAAGAAAGAGGATATTAAGGAACAGAGACCAAAATTCTAGGCCATAGTGGAGCTTGACTTTTCAGGGTGGTGCCATGGTGACTCCTGAGCTAACTTTACATGGCAGAGGTGGGTCCCAGGTCTTGGGGCCTTTTGGCTTTTTTATTGTCCCAGCACTGGGCTCAGGAGAGGTTGAACTGTCCGCACAGCACACTCCCCTTCCTCCTGCTTGCTTTTGCAGATGCCCAGCTCTACCCTCTGATCCCAGGGTATTATCTATCATAAATGCCAGAAGCTGGTGCAAAGTACACTGGCGGCTACCCCCTGGGGTGAGGTCTGGCACGCAGCCAGCCCCCTCCAGGGATTGTGGTGGTGGGGGTTGGAGAGTGGGATGCATGAGGGGGGACAGCACTTTGCTCAGGGCCCTTAATATGAATAGTCAGTGTGCAGAGAGACAGATGTGTCCAAAGGAGTGCACTTTCCACCATAGGCACCAGCCTTCAGGTGCAGACACACCCAGCCACATATATGCATGCAGCTGGGGAACCTGACGGGGCCGGTCTATGGCACGGAGCATGGGGCGAGGCATCGTGCCTGGGCAGCCACAGAAACCCACCCTTCCCCGCCTCAAAGGGTTCCTCCCAGCTGGCTGGGTTCCAAAGCATGTCACTGTGCTTTGCCTCTTCCAGCCCTTTGATAGAGCCTGGCCCTAAGTTCCTGAGTCAATCTTGGTTCGTCAGTGGTCTGTTAACCTGGGGCCTCTGTAGACCAGGGATTCCACCCTGCCCCACAGAGATGAGACACCAGCCCTGGGCCTGACTCAAAGCAAACATAGGGGTTCAGAGGGCTCCTGGCAGGAGGTGGGGCCCTTGACATGCCCATGCCTGTGGCCTGCTGGGAAAGGGCAGAGGCCCATGCAGAGGGCTCCTGGAGGTTATTAGGTTCCTCTGGCATTCAGATGGGATCAGACCTACCCCATCTCCTTGAGATCAGATGGAGAGCAAGCCAGATGCTAGTGGTTCCTGCTGAAGAAGGCTGAGAGCCTCAGAGGGCGAGCAGAAGAATGTTCTGCCAGGGGTCCTCTGGGGTGAAATAGAGGGCTTGGGGGATTCTATAGTTGAGGCCACGAACAGGGCCTGGGGTGGAGGTATGGTTCCTGGCAAGCCCTGACTCTGCCCCTGGCAGTTTCCCCGCCAAGGGCCCACCCAACCCTGCCTGGTTATAGGAGACCAGGGCTGGAGCAGGGTCCTCCCGTTGACTGAGTTCACATGCACAGCAGGTTGCTTGGAGCCATGCACTGCTCCACGGGCTGCAATGATTTAACCTTCAGGACAGCCCACACTAGAAAGCACAATTATTGTGCTTTTTCAAAATTACACCATTGTGTTTTCACAAAACCCAGGAAGTAGATACCAAGATTTTACATTTCCAGGGGAAGAAATGGAGCCTGGGAAGGTTTATGAAGGTCAGTCTAAGGTTCAGGGGTCTGACAGCTGCAGATTGCAGATGGGAACTCGGGCTCCCCTGTGGAGCAAGTCCAGTCCCTTTGCTGGGATTGGACTTGCTTCAGTAACACCCAACAAGTCACTGTCTGAGAGAGACATGGCTAGGTCAAGGGCCTTGCATTTGCACCAGGGAAGTTTCCACGTCCTCACCAAAGGGGAAACATTCAAGTGAGATGTCAGTGACACCCAGATGAGCAAAGGTCAGGTGGGTGCCAGCTGTAGGGAGATGCATGGGAGGCTTTTAGGGGGACACCTGTCATGAACCAACACACAACATCTGGATCATCCCCTACACCCCAACAGCTGGAGATGAACCGAGTGCTCCTTCCTTGTTAGGAATGACCAGGTGAGGATGCCACCTGTTACCACCCTGCCTGGCCTGGAGTCCTCAGGAGGCCAGATGGCAGTCCTCTTCCCTCTTGGGACCAGCTGTGTGTCTGGAACCCACTTAGCAGCAGGGTTGCTTAGAGTAGGACCTGTGCTCAGTGCTGCTGGGGCTAAAGTGCCCTGCGGAAGAAGGGACTGCGTTAAACATTAGCCACAATGGCCCCCTGCGAAGTGAGTCACACTCCCCACAGGGCTCTGGGCTGGGCAACCAGGGGGGTAGTTTTGTTCCAGGTGGGTGACCAAGCTGCTGAAGCCTGGGACAGGTCGCTGGGACCAGACTTTGGTTTCCTCTCCTGACACCAACAGGGCTCTGTCATTCCTTCTAACTCCGTGATGCTCACTGCCTGCAGGTCCTGCACAGTAGTGGAGGTTCTGTACTCCAGGATGTGCTCCCAAGGGGACCGTGGAGCCCCTAGAGCTTGGGCTGAGCACGGTGAGCTTGATAACCCTGCAGCACAGAGCACTGCAGGCTCTGAGAGGGAAAATGACTTGTTCAAGGTCATAGACATAACTGGGGCTGGAACAGAGGTACCTCGACTCCTGGTCTACTGAGAAAATCCCACCCAAAAGTTGATTCCAGGGGACCCAAGCAACCTGCCCATCTCTAGTTTCAGCTCCAATGACAGCAGTGGGTCTCTTTCACTGGTGGGCACAGGCTGGGGGTCCATGCCTTCTCTGTGTGCTCCTGGGGGAGGGGTATGTAAAACCCTGGCTGCTTAGTTAAGGGGCCCTGGTACATGGGGACTTGTATAGGGAGCTGGCTGACTGGCCAGCAGTATAATGGCTATCATGTGACATTCCTTCCAATGGCTCTGTGTGACCCAAATTTGAACCACTCCATCCCATGGTGAGGAAATCAGACCATGAGCACTACAGTCTTCATAAAACTAAGTATTTGAAAGACAAAAGGCTCTGATTGATTGATTGATTGATTGATTGTCATATGGGTGACTGAACCCAGGGCCTTTGCACTGATCCACATCCCCCACTATTTTTTTTTTTTTTTTTGAGACAAGTCTGGCTATGCCTCAATCATTGTAATTTTCCTGACTCAGCTTCCCAGAGTGCTGGAATTACAGGCATACACCACCATGCTCAGCTAAGGTCCTCCTTTATTAGGAAAGCACATGTACCTCTATTTTATCATTTCAGTATTAAAACAGTCTTTAATCAGGTAGAAGGATAATGGTGGTAATTATCATTTTCTAACATTTTTAACTCACCAAAAGCTAGGGGCCTGCTGCCCTGGATTCTTTAGAGTGTGGGTCTCATAGTCTCGTTCATTTTCTTTTCTCCTTTTCCTTAAACAGAGTCATGGGCAAGGTGATTGCTCAGTGCAGAAAGGAGGGGAGCAAATGAAATGTCAAGTCTGACATCCACATCAGCTGGTCAGGGCTGGGGATCCCCCAGATTTCCACTCTGGTCTTCCTGGAAAGGAAGTTGCTTATAAGGCTTGTACTGGGGGATTCCAGAGCCTGAAAGTCCATTCTGGGGCCTCAGAACTGGCTAATCCTCCCCTACCTCTGGCTGGGAGCTGAAAATCCCTGGCCTTATCCAGGGGATTCCCAGTTGTGATGACCCTGCCTTGTGGACCCTTCCCAGTGACTAGCACATTTTACTTTTAAAAAATGTTTATTTATTTGGTACTGGAAATTAAAACCAGGGCTTTTGTTCTATGTCTGGTCCTTTTTGTTTAAATTTTGAGATATGATCTTGCTAAGTTGCTAAGAACTTGCAGTCCTCCTGCCTCAGCCTTGCAGAATACTGGGGTCACAGGTGAGCACCATCGCGCCCAGCTCCATGTTGACATTTTAAATGTGTATGCCTCTGTTTAAGGAATTATAAAGTGAACACCCCTCTACCAACCAGGCCTTTAAAGAACTAAAATAATGCAAATATGTGTGAAGCCCGGGTGCCCCTTCTCATTCGTGCTGCTTTCCTCACTGCAAAGGTAAACACCGTCCTCAGTTATTAGGAGTGCCCGTTCAGCCCATGCTTTCTATTTCCTGAGGTCAACACAGGCCCAAGAATATTAAATAGAAAATCCCAGAAATACAGAGTGCATAAATTTAGCTCGAGTGGTGGGATGAAGTCATGTGTCATCCTGCCTTGGATATGAATCGCCCTTTTCCCCAGCAAAGGCACCCTGGCTCCCTAGTCACCGAGCAGACATCCGTTATCAGATCAACTGTGTGTTAGCACAGCACTTGAGTTCAAGTCACTCCGCTGTCACTTCATAATGGCCCCACAGCTCTCAAGAGTAGCGATGCTGGAACTTTTATTACAACATATTGTTATAATTGTTCTATTTTATTTTATTATGAGGCACCCCCTGCCTATCTTCAGGCAACTTACATTCAAATAACTGGCAGCCAGTATGCAGTTACCCACCTGCCAACACACATGGCTCCCCGACAACGAATAGTCATCAGACCAAAATGTCAGTAACACTGAGACTGTGAAACTCTCAGTGACCTCTGGTCACTTTCCTCCCTACATCTCCTCCTCCCAAGTCCTTGCTTCATCAGCGGCATCAGTGTTCATCCAGGGCCTCCTACCAGGGCTTGGGAGTCACCAACAAGAGTCAGTCAACTCTGACCTGACACTCAGCCTTCCAAAGCTCTTCCCAACAGCTGCTGCTCTCCTCCTCCTGCTGCTCTTGCTCAAGTTCCCTTCATTCTTTCGTGGACTATTACAAAACAGCTCGTGTGTGTGTGTGTGTGTGTGTGTGTGTGTGTGTGTGTGCACGCGTGCATGCCAGCCTGTGTGTCTTCAGTGTTACCCTGAAAGTGTCTTTCTTCAAGTCAGAAACTGAGTCCTTACCATCTTTGTGTCACTGATTGTCAAAGCCACTTGCTGATTGCAATGGGTAGAATTAAAAAGTTGTGTTTAATTCCTAACTTGTAAATGTGACTTTGTCTGGAATAAGGTATTTTCATACTGAAAATGACATCATGCTGAATTAGGGTGGGCTCTAATCTACTGTCCTTTTAAGAGGAGGAAAACTTGGACAGAGACAAAGACAATATCATGTGAGGCTAGATACAAAACCTGGAGTAACACCTTTGCAAGTCACAGACCTTCAAGAACTGACAGCAACTACCGGAAGCCAGGAAGAAGCAAAGGATTCTCTGCTAGAGCCTTCCATAGGAGCATTTCTGGGTGGATACTGTGACCTCCCACTTCTAGACTTCAAAACTGCAAGAGAATAAATTGCTATTGTTTCAAGCTACCAACCCATGGCACTTAGTTATAGTGGTCCTGGGAAACTCACACACTGACCCAGGATCAAGCATAATCTGACACATAAAATGTCCAGGATACTCACAATGCCTGTCCTCAAAGAAGTTTTTGGATCCTTATTTCTAGAGTAGCCTCTATGTTTTTAGTTTATTTATTTATTTTTACTTCTATGTTGTTTGGTACTAGGGATTGAACCCAGGGCCTTGGGCAGGCGAGATAAATGCTCTGCCCACAGCTATACTCCCAGCCCTTTCATTTTTAGTTTTTTGGTGACACTGGGGAGTCCAGTTCTGAGTCCAGAACCCTTGTACTGAGCTATACCTTCAGCACCGCCTTTAAATATTTGAAACAGGGTCTCCTTTTTTCAATAAGTTGCTAGGGTGGGCCCAAACTTGAGATCCTCCTGCCTCAGCTTTCCAGAGTGCTGTGATAATGGGCGTGTGCCACCATGCCTGCAGGGTTTGGAGCTTTTCAACACCTGACAGTCCCCTGGCTTCATGAAGTGTTCCTGGAGCAGCTAGGCTTCACTTGTCTTTCTGTTGAGGTGCCACCACTGATGAACCACGCGTAGGAATATCATCTGTGGCCCATCCCTCTCAACTTCCCTTCGAAGGCTTAGAGTCCTGTCTTGGTCTCTGCTCAGGACTCTGCTCACTCCAGCTGCACTAGCAGAGAACTCATCTGATTCCCGAAACCTGGAAGGAGTCAGAGCAAGGTGTCGTCATTCCCACTTCACAGGTGGGGAAACTGAGGCCACATTCCCTAATCATATCACTCAGAAAAGACAGAAAGGCTCTCAAAGCTGAGCCCTCTTCCTTATGCCTCGCCCTTCACCTCCGACGGGAAGAAGGAATCCCTGGGAAGAGCGCATTGAGAGGGAGCCACCTGTTTGCAGGTGTGGGCTCAGCAGTGAGCCCTCCACAGGGTGCTTCGGAGCTGGGGGCCACTGTGGAGATCAGGGACCCTGGGTTGGCAGTGATAGGGTAGCACGGCCCAGGAGAATCCTTTCCACCATCTCATCCCGTGCTGGGCTCTGGGACTGTACCCGCTCCCTCTCGGGGCTGGACCTACTGTTGCAGCTGCTCCTGGCCAGCGAGTGTGACCCATCAGGGGAGATAAGGTTCCGCCAGCACCTGGCGCCTGCCCCTCCTTCCCGCAGGGTCCTGCACCGGCGCACTGGGACTCTCCCAGGAGCCGGGTGGTACCAGACGCCAGGGCCCAGTTATTTATACCCACCCTTCCGGGAGAGCAAAGTCGAACCTCTCTGCTCTGCATCAGAGCGCAAAAACGGCATCTATGGCACATTTGGGGTTCAGTGGGCTCTGCACGCCCGTATTCGCGGATTTGGGTCCAGGTCTCCTCTCCGAAGGGCCGGCTTTCTATGGGGCGGGATCTGTGCGCAGGCCGAGGCGCTGCCCGAGCTCGAGACCCCAGATCGCGGTTCCGCTGTAACTTTGCCGCTGGGCTTCCGGCTCTTGGGTTGCTCCCCGCTAAGTCGATTTCCAGGCAGGGAGCTCACCGTCCCGACCCTCGGGTCCCCGCCCTCCGCCCCGCTCCCTGGCACTCGGGCGGCGACCCTGCGCGGCGAGGCGGCCCGGCGCCAGGCTGGTCGGACTGGTTCTGGGCAGGACGCCTCCCACCCTCGCCCCGGGCCGCCAAGCAGCCCCGCGCCAGCCCGGGCGCCCGTCGGTGCTGCCCGCGGCCCGTGCGACCGTCCACGCAGCACGCAGCACGCAGCCATCGCGACCCGCGGCCGGCCCGGGCGGAGATCAATGCGGCTTTGTCTGGGACGCCCACACCCCAGAGGCCGCTCCCGGGTCGGCAAGTCGCAGCGCGGCGGCGCGGGGCGCGCGGGGTGAGATAAGCGGCCATGTGACCCCACCTGGCGGGGGCGGGGCGCAGGTGCGGCGGCGGGCGCAGCAGGACGCAGGCGGCGACTGCGGCTGCAGCGATGTCTGCGGGCAGGAAGGACTGGTCGGCGCTGTCCAGGTGAGCGCTCCGCGGCGGCTGGGGTCCGCGGCGCAGCCTCGGTCTCCTCTCACTGGTGTCGGCTTCTCCCCGTCCTGGGACCCTGCGATCCTGCTCTTGCTGCTTTTCAGAGGGGGCGGAATTGGGGGCTAACGCGGGACCCCTCAGATGACCGGGCCAGTGTTGTTGCACCTCCACAGCTTCCTGACCTCCCCTTCCGGACCTCCCCTCTATGGCCCCAAATCAGGTGCATGAGAAAGGCTCCTTCACACTTGGACAGGCCACGGTGTGACCTCCTCTGTATGTGTGTGTGTGGCGAGGGGTGCGATTTGGGGACTGGGGGATTCAGCCTTATTTCTGAGAGAAGCCTCTAGCGCTGCTCCATGGCCCTGGTAGAGTCCTAGAGTGCCCTCCTGGCGGTGTTGCTCAGGTCCTCTTGGGACAGAAACAGTGCCGTCCTCTATGGGGTCGGAGTTACAGGGATCTGTGAATAGGATCCGAACCACCTCCTCCCACGCCCTGCTGCCTCTGGGAAAAAATAAGGGAAGCTCAGATTCTGAGTATGGCATTTTGGGGTGTCATTGGGATTGGGGTCCTCGAGAGATCTGTGAACTCATTCATGCTTTGTTCTTTATTTGAGAAAGGGTCTCCAGAGGGTCAGGGGACTGGATACTTTACCCCTGCCTTTGGGCAACATGTCAGGGTAGGAGTAGGAAGGGCCGGTGTCTGGCAGGCAATGCCCCGGGTGGTTCTGTCTCCTCTTGGGGCTGCTTCCCCTCTCTCCAGAGCTACTGGAATGGTCTGTCATCCTTCCAAAAGGGAATCCCCCCTGCCCCTCAGCCTGTACACCTTGTCCCCACATGGTCGCCCTAATCTTATGACCTCTGAGGCTCTCGGCTAAGAATTGACCTCTTGGTTCCTCCCAGGTGGGTGTTGTCGGGCCTCCCTTGGGATCAGGCTGTTTCTGCAGGTGCGGCCCAGAACACTCCTGCAGTGGGGGTACCACAGGCCTGCCCCATCAAGACAGTTTTCACCAATCCCAGCACTTAAGATCTCCTCCTCCCCTCTCCCATCTTTGACCCTGAAGAACTTTAGAGCTTCTCCTGAGCTGGGGGTCCCCTCAAGACCTTCAGGACCTCAAACTCCTCTGAAGCAGTTACCCAGTAACCCTGAGTACAGGGATAGATGGGGTCTAGAGAGGGGAAGAGGTAAGCCCCGAGGGTGAAAGGAACCCAATGCTGGATAGAGGAACCCGGGCTGCTGTTCAGGTTGGACATACCCCAGGAAGGTGGTGCTGAGGGTGGGGCTGGAGTCAAGGGCACGGACTCTGCGTGTGGGTCAGGGTCCACGGGGGTTGAAGTGGCAGTCCTTCTAGGTGTGGGCATATCTGTGCTTCTGAGTGCATGTGAAGATACTTGTGTGTGTGTGTGGCCATTGGTGTGGGTGTGTTTGTGGCTGCCGTAGTGATGAGATGTCTGTGTGGGCCGTGGGTTCTTGTGGTTTGGAGCTTGCAAGTCTGAGTGTGTTTAGTTTAAATGTTTATTGAAGACCTCGGTACTCTGAATTAAAAATACAAACTAGATGTTACTTTTTCAGAAGCTCACATCCTGGTGGTGATTTTGTGTGTAAGAGCATGCGTGGATCTGTATTAAGGTGTAAGGAGGGAGCAAATGAAGCACTGAGACTTTTTTTTTTGGTACTGGGCGTTGAACTCACAACCTTGCGCTTGCCAGACAGGTGCTTGTACTGCTGAGCTAAATCCCCAGTGGGGCACTGGAACTTTTAAAATGGGAGTGGGGTCCAGTTTTTTTTGCTTGGCCACTCCTGAGGTAGATATGGTCTCATATGGCTGCAGAGGTGGGAACTAGTTCCCATGGGATGTCCAGGTGAAGCAGTAGAAGCCTGGGGAACCAGTCCTGCCACGGAGCCCCTGCCCGCCTTCCCCCGAGCCCTGTGGGCAGACGCAGCTGCTGCCAACAGTCACCCTGAGGAGGCACCTGGAATAGAGGACCGCTCCCGCTCAGATCCCTGGCTGAACAACAAGCCTCAGCCGGCCGGCAGGAAAGGCTGTGAGTCACTGTCAACCGAGCCTCCCAGGCTGGGGAGGACTGTGCAGAGGGCGTGAGCAGTGTGGCCCCAGCCAGCGCCCAGGTGGGGAGGCGGGAGGGGAGCTGAGGGCTGGCCTGCAGCTCGCTTGGGCAGTAAGTAAGTAAGCTTCAGATGCTCAAGCCTTTGGATGGGGGCTGTGGTGAGCTAGCTGGCTGGCCGGCTGCTCTGGGGAGCAGCCTTGTCCTTTCCTCCCTGAGCTGACCTGGTGATCTGTCCTCCGTGGGCTGACCGGGTGAGGTTGGGCCAGGCCTGTCTGCAGGGGGTAAGGGGGCGGGTATGAAGGTGCCTGGGACAGCAGCCCTTGGTTAATCATTTTCCTGCCTGAGCCTTGAGCAGCCCTCCCACCTCCAAGCACTTTCCTGGGCTCCTGACACTGACACTTGCCTCTAGACCAGCTGGGCCTGAAGGGACCTCAGACCACAGTGACCCCGCAGCAAGTGGAAGGGGAGCCCAAGCTGCCTGCTCAGGGCCTGAGGGTTGGCCCAAGGTCGTGGACTTCCTCTTCTGTTCCCTCCTCCCTAACTCCTGCTCCTTGGGTCCACAAAATGCTTCCGGGGCAGTTCTCCCATCCTCTCCCGACTTTACTGAGAACAGCTGAGTCTTGAGATGCCGTCTGTGATTCTGTATGTGATTTAACTTGGGAAAATAGGTTCTACTGTTCAACGAAACATCTAACAAAGGCACTGTACTTAGACTCCTGCTATAGAATAGGCAGAATTCAGATGTCGAGAGGAAAACCCCCTTGGGGAGAAATTGAAACAAGTTCTCCAGGAGCAGTGTAGCAGGATGGCTTTAGAATTAAGAGAAAGAGGATGGAGAGGGTGCAGTCAGGAGCAGGGAAGAACAGCCCTATATGGAGACAGGAGAGAGCTCTGATTCACCAGAAGCAGGCCAGGAGGTAGAGGGGAGGGAGGAGGGGTGGGATCTTCCCAGGGCAGTGGATTCATCTGATGAGAATGACTGGGATCTCTAGCTGTTGAGGCCTGCAGGTTCCACCTAGGGCCTGGCTTTGGGGCTTGGGATCATTGGGTTCCCTCAAACCTCTCTCCCTGAGTGCCCTGAGCTGTGGCCTGTCCTGGGGTGGAGAATCCTGGACCATCAGAGGACCTCCCAGTGCCCCCTTGTTCCTTTACTGTGTGCTTGGCCTTTGGCCTCCTAAGAGGTGGTGCCTCTTGGTTAGAACCAGCAGCCCAACCCTCCATTCTTTTCTAGAAATTGGTATCAGGGTGAAGGACATGATGTTTTAAGAGGCTGACTTAGACTGGAATCTTGGTTCCTATTTTATATATAATATATTTATGTACACACACACATATTGTGCTAGCATTGTAAGGTATTAATCCCTCTGTACCTTACTTTCCTTCTATGTGAACTGGAGATAGCACCACCTTATCATACAGGGTTATAAGGATTGGCATCCAGGAATTGCAAAATTTTAGAACAGTGCTGGTGCCTGGCATTCTTAGTGTTATCACACCTTCCTTTATTCTCCTACTTATTGGTTTATTTTTCACTGTATTCAACCACGTGAAGCCCCATGCTAAGCCTCAGTTATGTATGTATTATTGAAGTTGCCATAAATACACCTGCCAGGTTCTTCCTGGAGACTGACCTTTGCTTGTCTTTTGTGCCCATTTCTGTCCATTTCCTCATCTTTAGAGGCCAATAATCTTTGCTTATTGGAGATAATAACATTCCTCCTCAGGGTGGTGATGGTGGCATCCAGTGATTCTTGAGCAGCAGGGGTGGTGACCATGCCATAGGTGAGAGGTGGGAGCTTGGGGTAAAGCTTGGCACTGGAGGCCTCCTGGGGTCCATCCCCTACACCAGCCCTGGAGGTCCCTGGCCCAGTCTGTGGGGTGAGTCACTTATGAGGAGACTAGGCTCAGACAGATCACACATTATATATGGCTACACAGGAGGATAAGCAAATATGTAGCTTCCCTGAGGGCTGAAAGTGGCATGTGGGAACCAGGTTGCTCAGGACCAAAGAATCCTGGAGGCAGTGGCCCAACCCTAGTATGGGTGTGGTGATGGGAGGAGCATTGGGTTTTGTGGGTCAATTTCTGCAGTACATGGGTCCCTTTTTGGAGGGCAAGAGCTGCGCTTAAACTAGGAACCAGGGCAGATGCAAAGCTGACCTGACAGCAAGTGTGAATAGAGAAGCTGAGGAGGGTGGCTGCCAGGCTGGCTATTGAGGGACCAGTGTGTGTGAGTGAATGGATGAAGGAATGAATTTGCAGATATGTGGCACTCACAGGGCTCATGTGAAGACCCGACCCAGGGAAGTCCTACTTAGGTTCTCTGCTCGAGGCCAGCAGGGGAGCACTTTGGCTGGGGCCCTTCTCTGCTGCCATCGAGGTGGAGCAGAGGTGTGACTGATGGGGATGAACTATTTACCAAGAACAGTTGCTCTGATGGCAGGACAGGAGGATTTGGCACATGCTTTTCCAAGGCAGCGTCTTCCCTGTGGGCTGATATGCAGGCCCCTTCTTTATGCAGGTTGCCTTTGGGGAGTCAGACAGTGCTCCCGACTTTGTGCTCTCCCAGACCAAGGCACAGGCTTGGAGACTCCTGGGGATGAGGAGGAGGAGCAGCCTGCTGTGCTGAGAGCTGACATTTACACCTGTCATCTGCCGTGTGCAGCCACCGTTCTGGGTACCAGGGGTCCCCCTGGTATGCTCACCTCCTCATGCCAGGGCTCTGCTCTTGCGGTGCCCTCTTCCTGACTGCTCATCGTGGACCCAGTCTCACAGAGGGCTCTGCAGCAGTGCTTTCTCTCGCATCACTTCCCTTGGCCTGTTGTTCTCGTGACACCTAGAAGATGTCATTTTGTTCATGGGCTTGTGTCCTTGCTCACTGGGACTCCTACCATGTACTGTATGAAGGGAAGGACTCTGTTGGTCCCATTTCCTGCTGTATCCCAGCTCCTGGCAAGTAGGTGCAAAAAGTGTTTGTTTCGTGAATGCTGGCTCTGTAAATGTGATGCTGGATCTAGAGAAACCAGAACTATTATGCAGCTTGTCTTCCTCATTTTAGGAGCAAACACTGGGGAAGAGGAGAAAATTACTTGCGGGGCTGGGGATTTAGCTCAGCAGCATAAGCGCCTTCCTTGCAAGTGTGCAGTCGTGAGTTCGATCCCTGGTACTGATTAAAAAAAAAAGAAAAAGACAAAAAAAAAAAAAAAAAAGAAAGAAAGAAAAAGAAAAAGAAAAAAAATTACTTGCCTGGGGTAAGAGGACCACAAACCAGGCTAATCATCCCACCTTTGTAAGGTGTCTGAGGAAGCTGTGCTTTAGGAGACCTCTAGGTGCATTTAAGGTGCAACTCAGTGCTTAAATTAGTGAGTTTACATGATTTTTGGTTTTTCAGAAACATGCCTCCACCCTAAACCAAGGCTTGGCTGCAGGGTGATGCTCTCCAGGAAGGGAGAGGCCAGGAAGGCAAGAGAGCAGAGATCTTGGTACCTGATGGAGCTGAGTGATGCCATAGGTCTGGTGGGAAAAATAGAGGCCTTTTCCGGAACCTCCTGACTTGGCTATTGTATGTGTCTTCAGGGCAGAGGCCCTGCCATGTTGTTCTGTGAGCCCCATCGCCGTTGCTTAGCATTTATTTATTCACTCTTTGGTTGGGTGAAGGGTGAGCAGATAGAAGAAAAGATGGGCTAGTGGGGAGATAGATAGGTGACATCAGGTGAAGAGGAGGAAAGTGAGAAGGTGCCCAGCAGGTGGGTGTTTGGATTGACTGGGTTGGGAGGGCAGAACTGGAGAGTGACTGGAGAGTACATGGGTGGATACTGGGGTTGCTTGATTTCCTGGCTGTGAGAGGCCCTGGTTGATCACATAAGTGAAAGATAACTGGAGATAGAAACCAAATAGAGTATGTGGGGTCCCCTTCCTCCCCTGAACAAGTTCAAGTTCTGAAAGGTGATTGAGGCTGAGAGAGCTCTGGGGCAGTGAAGGTGCACCCGGGTGTTTGGTCATATCTGTGAGTGTACCCCTGCCCCCCACCACCAAAGGCTAAGAAACTTCGTAGGGAAGTAACTGAGGAAATTCCTTTGAGGTTGTCCACTGAGGGATATTATCTAAGAATTCCAAGGCCAGAAAGAGAAAGGAACTTGTCAGATTCATCTGCTTCCTTCAGGCAGAACAAGTCCTACCTTTCTTCATCCGTAGCCACCCCAGAAAGGGAAGCCTTCCCCTCAGTCTACCCTGGAGTCTAGAATATAGTCCACACTGGTTTTCGTCTGGGGTGATTTTGGCCTCCAGAGGACATTTGGTGATCCTGGGAAGCATTTTGGGCTGTCACAGCTGGGGGATTGTCTGGATAAAATGTTAGCGGTGCTGAGAGAAAGCTCAGTCTCTCAAATTCCAGCACATTTCATAGAAATTCAGTGTCCCTGTCTTCATTGTCTTCCCAGGCCTGAGACACAGGATCTGATGCTATAATTTAAGAGGAGAGATGCTTACTTGGGCTCACAGTTTTAGCTCTTCAGTCCATGGTGGGCAAACTCATGGCAGAGGCAGTGTGGTTTCTGGGAGGGCCTGGGAGGAGGAGAGCTGCTCATTCAGAGAGCATCTCATCCAGGAGAGCAGCCAGGAAGCCGGGGGAGGGGGGGGTGGGGCACCGGGGAGGGAGATAAACTTGCGGGTCAGGTCCATAGCAGTCCACCTCCTCGCACCTCCTAACTGCATGTTTAGTTGCTTTTGTTCATGGATCTAACACTTTGTACACACATAAGAATATGGGGGAACACGTGAGCTCTAAACCCTAACACTATGCCGTATGACCACAATGCAAATGTAAAGTTGTTTAGTAGTCACATTAAAGAAAGTAAAGGGAAGGAGATAATAACAGTATATTTCATTTATCTTAATAAGTTAAGATTGATCATTTTGATATGTAATAAATATATGGATTTTTTTTTTTAGGTAGATATCTCACTATGTTGCCCAGACTGGCACTGAAGTCCTGGGCTCAGGTGATCTTCCTGCCTCAGCCTCTCAAGTAGCTGGCCCTACAGGTGCCTGCCACCACGCCCAGTTATACAGCTCTGAATGTCAAATTCTGCAATTTGCTTTTTTTCCCGAGTCTTGGGAGTCCAGTGTGCATTTTACACACACAGCACATCTTGGTTCTGACAGTCTGTGTCGCCCGTGTCATGTGGCTACTTGTAGCCAGGGCAGCATGGAGAGTGCTTTGTGTGCCTTGGGAAGGTGCCCAGGTGTCCAGGGCTGGTGCTGATCCTCACTTTCTTCCCCTAGCCTGGCTCGGCAGTGGACTCTGGAGGATGAGGAGGAGCAGGAACGTGAACGCAGGCGGCGACACCGCCACCTGAGCTCCACCACGGAGGATGAGGTTCCCAGGCTCACCCAGAATGGAGACCAGCAGGCTGCTGAGAGGTACACGGGCCGGATGCTGGCTGGGCATCATGGTCGAATCCTAGGTGACAAGGACCCATTTAGCTGCCCCGGGTTGACTATGTGAAATGTGCTTGGCCTCCCAGGGACTGAAGGCCCAGGGAATGAGGCGTGTGAACGTGGACTTCAAGCTCCACACCTTCCTCCGCAGTCCTACCAGGTACCACCCTCGGGCCAGCGGGCTGCGACCACTCAGGAGCCCACACTCGCTGGATGTTTTATGGACGTAGCTCACTCAGTCCTCACATATCCTATTGTTTTGCAGTGGGAGAACCAGGGAGAAAAGGGACTTAGGTGACTTGACGGTGCTTAGGTGACTGAGTAGTGAGGCCAGAATTTCCATCCAGATTGTCAAGTTCTGTGGCTCATTCTTTCCATTCAGTCAAGCCACTTCCCTGAAGCATCAGCACCCCATAATTCACACCTGATCAGGGGAACCGAGGCACCCATCTTGCGTTACATTTTGGGATTATGAAAGAAAGGAAGAGAAGAGCCCAGAACATAGTGGATGCCACTTCCACACCAAGACTGTGCTGGGTACCCTCCTGGGATGAGTCCTGTGTCATTTTGCCCCTTGAGAAGGCCAGCTTGTGGGTTTGAAAACCGAGGCTCAGATAGTAAGTATCTTGGTTACTTTTCTCTAGTAGCTGAGATGCAATACCTGGCATCCAAAATGAAGGAAGGAAAGATTATTTAGCTCACTGTTGTGGAGGTTTCAGTCCATGATCAGCTGTCAGGGTGGCATGTAGCATGGCACTGGGGCAACACTTCAAGGCAGCAGCCAGAGCAAAAGGGGAGAAACCAAGCCTCTTCTCCCTTATATTGTATACAGGCCACCTCCCCTCCAGGATGAGTGTAGCACTCACAAAATCTCCTTGCCCTCCTTTGAACAGGTTGAGGATATTTACAAAGAACCCTGGCTCCCTGCTGAGTCAGTTAAACCTCTAAACTGCTCAAGTTGACACAATGTATCAACCATAACAATAAGTTAATTTGCCTGAACTCAGATGGAGGACTGGGAAGGTCAGAGAAGAGAATGCCTTTTGCTGGAGAGGAAGCGCTCAGGAGTTTGGGCGATCCTTTTGCTTTGTTCTTGTTTTACTGGGTCCCCAAGAGAAGGGAGACCAAGGTGTGTGCCCTGAGCTGACCCAAACCTGTGGCTGCCAGCTAGTCTCAGCCCCACCCAGCTTTGAGTTCTACTTCCAGCTTCCTACCAGTTAGCTGTGTGACGTTTGACAAGTCCTGAACACTCTGATCTTATTCTGAACTCTAAGGGAACTGTGTTTGCTCCTTTTGACCACTAGTGCCCAGCGCGGGACCTGGCACTTGTTTTTGGTTGTGTCTGATCATGGAGAGGTTGGACTTTACAGAGCTCTGCAAACATTTTAAGGAGCATGGAATACTTAGTTGAAATGAAGCCTAAAATGTAGAGCAGTTACACATGATCCTTATTAAGGAATGGTGATGGGTAAGGAAGGTGAGGGCCTGATTTCCTGGACTCCTCCCTGATGACCCCAACAGCATCTCTGTTCCTGCAGGGTCCTTCTTATCACTGATATCCTTTGCTTTCATCTCTTGTCTTTTGACTTAGGCTGCCCAGTGTGGAAGAAACAGAAGTGCCCAAGCCACTACCCTCAGCCCCCAAAGATGAGGAGGATGACATCCAAGTCATCCTCCGGGCACGGCAGGAGCGGAGGCAGAGGCGGAAAGCCGTGGAAGCTGTCCCGGCCCCCATGCAGGAGGGGCTGGAGGCAGAGGATGTAAGGGACAGCTCCAGCCCTGATCCGGCCATGCAGCAGCCCCTGACACCGAAGAAGGAACCACAGGCTCTACCTCGCCGGAGACTGAGCCGAGAGAAGCGGGGACCCTGGGCCCAGGAGGAGGAGCGCTTGGTGAGCAAGGAGCCAGGAATGGGGAAGAAGGGGCTTCCAGAGGAGGCCCCAGCTCCAGAGGAGACCTTGGTCTCAGAGAAGTCCTCTGTGCCAGAGAAGACACCCACAAAGAGACTGGCCTTGGAGAAAACGTGCCTCTCTGAGAAGGGGCCAGCCCCGGAGAGTACAGCTGTGTCCCAGAAGACAGCAGTGCTGGATACTGGCAGCCCAGAGAAGTCTGCTCCAGGAAAATCGAGCATCTTTGAGACATCACTGGCCCCTGAAAAGGCATCTGTGTCTGAGAAGACAGCAGTGTTAGAGAAAAGGTCCATGCTGGACAAGAAAACAGATCTGGGAAAAGTCAGTGTTTCTGAGAAGCCTCCAGGGAAAGCATCTTCTCGGGTCTCTGAGAAAGCATCCTTCTTTGAAAAATCCTCAGTCACAGAGACAAAGCTGGCTCCCAAGAAGGTGGCAGCATCTGAACAGCCCCAGGGCTCTGGGGGAGGCCAGGCCAGCACCCAGGAGCGGGGAGGAAGGGCTGTCTCCAGGCGAAGCCCGACTTCCTCAGCAGCGGAGCGCAGAGTTCCAGGCTCTCCAGCTGCGGCTTCCCGCCTCCCACCCATCACACTCCAGGTTGGCAGTGCTTCTACCCCTCCTGCCCTCCTTCTTCCCTGGCTGACCTCCCTGCCAGGCCTGCCCTGGGGCCTCTGCTCCTTGCAGCCTCCTGTCCTCCCATCTGCGGGCTGACCGTGGTGCTACTGTCAGAACAGGGCAAGGAGGCGGAGGCTGCTGGAGGCGAAGGGGCTGGCAGTGGTGTGGCAGGGAGCAGGGGGAAATCTGTACCACTTCTCATCCCTCCTAGCAGGAAGCCTCAGATCCTTCCACAGGCTCTCCTAGAAAGCTCTTCCTGGTGGCCTGGTCCCATGGGCAGTGCTGGCTGCCCCAGAGCAGAGGCTGGAGAGTAAGGCCCAGGGCCGTCTCACTGTCACTTACACCTGCAGCTCCCGGGATGAGTCCACCACATGGGATCCCTGTGACAGTTGGAGCTCAGTGGCACCCGGGCCTAGCAGGGCCCTGGAGGCAGAGGATGTAAGGCCAAGGAAGGTGGGTTCTAGACTGACTGTGTGACACTCCCTTTGCTCTATTCAGGTGAAAATCCCCAGCAAGGAGGAGGAGGAGGAGGAAGGCACCTCTTCACCTAGCCAGCTCACCTATAGCACCTCTCTCAAACGTTCCAGCCCCAGGACCATTTCCTTTCGGGTGAGAGAATGGTGGGCAAACCTAGAAAGCAACAGCCCTTACAGCATGGGAGCCTTAAATTAGAGAGCAAGAAGGTCCTCTGGATGGAGAGGGTATTTGGAGTCTCATGGCAAAAACCTTTGAGTGCGAATAAGTGTGAGCAGCGCCACCTAGTGGGGAAGGCCAGAGCTGCAGGAAGATGGCCTGACCAGGCTCTGCCTTCTCATTCTGGTCTTTACCCAAGAGTGAGATTCTCTGCAGGTCTTGGGGTGGTAGGGCTCTTCTAATGCTCTCTGCTCTGCCCCCATCCCAGTTGCGTGTATTGGTGAGTCTCATCTAGCCTTTCCCAGTATGTATTCTTAGTTCATTTGTGTACTGGGTCACACACTCCCTCGTTGATTGTGCATTGTGCCCTAACCCATGCCACGCCCTGGGGAGGAGGCTGGAGGCCAGAGGTTGATCAGTGCCGTCAGGGATCTTAATTGGGTAGGCAGACAGGTGTTCCAGGTTCCCTGAGCAAGGATGGAGGAGGTAGAGGAATACTTTGGACTCAGACTGGTGGGTGGAGGCAGGTACTTCTCAGATAGGGCAAGGTCTCTAGTGGTAGGGGGTTAGGAGGAGGAGGAGGAGGTACCCTGAGAGCTGTCCCTTAAGGGAAGGGAGCCACAGATCTCCTGGGGACTCCCATTCACTAGTGGACACCTTCTCATTTCAGATGAGTCCAAGGAAAGACAACTCGGAGACCACCTTAACTCGCAGGTGGGGGCGGCCTGGAGACTTTGACTCTCTCCTGTCCTATATTTCTGAGTACCTGTCCCCTCTGTGTGTCAGGCCATGTCACAGGGCACCCAGGTGGTGGGGCTGCTGTTCCTGCCTGGCCTCCGGTTAGGGGTGGGGTGGTAGTGAATGGGAAGGACTGTGGGTTGGCGGGTGGATGATGTGAGATATCAGCAGCTTGCAGGAGGCAGTGTTTAGGGGGGCTCTGAAGGAGGAGACGGGAGAAGGGCTTTGCAGCAGGGAAACTCAGCAGTGCAAGGAAGAGGAAGCATGTTTTGGCAAGCCTGGGACTGTGCATGCTGAACAAGTACCTCCCTGGCCTGTAACATTGACACAAGTAGTCTGAGGACTGTGCATTGAAGAGAACACTGCAGTAGGACCTGAAAAAGCAGCTGTGCTTATGTTAGGAATTTCATTCACTTGCGCTGCCCTCTAAATGCAGACTGAGGCCTCCTGAACCAGGCAAGGCCTGGGATTTGGGGAGGGAAAAGGAGGGGACGAAGACAAGATACAGGCTCTCCAACAACCCATGTAAGGCCATAGACACATAAGAGGCAGCCAGTCTGGAAGGTATAGGATGGGTGGGCTCTTAGGGGCTGCAGCGAGCTGGGAAGGTATCACTGGGCCCGTGATGTTCAGCATAGACTTAACCAGTGAGATTTTGAGCTGAACATCTGCAGAAGTGGCATTTAACTATTTTACTCTTGGCTGTATTGGGGATTGAACGCAAGGCCTTTGCATTGAGCTACATCCCCAATGCATTTAAAAAAAAGTGTTTTGAGACAAGGTTTTCTTAAATTACTAAGTAATTTAATAATTTCTAATTACTGGGCTGGGCTTGAACTTTTGATCTTTCTGCCTCAGCTTCCTGAGTGCTGGGATTACAGGTGTGCACCACAACGCCTGGCAAGGAATGGCCCTTTAAATACAGGGAGCAGCATGTGAGAAGGCACAGTGTGGAAAGCATTACGGGCCCCGCTGGCTGGCACATTGGTGTGTGGTAGGGAGGGCCTGTGCCTGCATTGGGAGGGATGTGGGAGCAGATTCCCAGAGCTCTGTGTGCTGCTGACACCAAGGGTTCACTCCTTTGGCTTCTGGGATCTGGGCCGGAAGAAGAGGAACATATTTGTTTGAGGTAGCAATGACCGGTGACCATGAGGAATAATTTAATATGGCAGGTAGGGAAGGTAGATGTTTGTGGCTGTGGGGAAAATCTTGGAGAAGGGCCAGCTTCAGGAGGTGGTCTTGGCGGAAGAGACAAGTGGCCGGAAGTGGGAGGTGAAGAGAGGAGAACAGAGAGAGCCGCAGAGGATATTTTTGATGCCAGGACATCTACTGAATGGACTGTCTCACGGGAAGCGAGGACAGTCCTGGAGTGTGCAATCTTGCCCTTGGTCAGGTTGTTCCTCACCTATGCTGTGCCACAGAGAGCCATGTGTGCTTGGCCAAAGTGGTAGGGTGTGAGAAGGACCGTTTCTCAGACCTCGGGACAGGCCTGGACACCTTGAGGTGTGTGTCTCACCTGGTTTGTCTTGTCCTGGTTTGTCTCATCCTGGGTTCCTGCCCTGCAGTGCCAGTGTGAGGTTGCCAGCCAGCACAGTGAAGCTGGAAGAGAAGCTGGAGCGATACCACAAAGCTGTACAGGTGGGATGTGAGGGCTCATTCAGGGTGTGTGCGGGGCCCTGGTGGGTGCAGTCTGTGCACTTCATGGTCACAGCTCAGTGGCTTGTGTCTCTGTTTCCAGAGATCAGAATCTGTCAGGTCCCAAGGCTCTTCCCGCACTGAGGTCTTCGTGGCTCCCACGGGTGTAGCCAGCAAGCGCCACCTCTTTGAAAAGGAACTGGTGGACCAGAGCCAAGCAGAACCAGTCTCCAGCCGGAAGGTGAGAAGCAAAACCCAGCTGAGCTTTTCTGGGCTGAGAAGCCTGGCAGTCTCTGAAGCTGGAAAACCACCTTCTTGTGTCAATGTTGGCAGGAGCTCAATTTGCCATTTGAGTTCTTGAGCCCCAGTCTTCATGGTGGGACTGTTCCATGTACTTATCACATGCTGGGGGGACATGGGCATGGGGTGGAATCCTGTCCCTGTTCCAGGGCCTTTGCAAAGGCTTTGTTGTTGCTGGTGGCCTCAAATCCTGAGAGGCAACCTGTCTTCCTAGGACAACCTGAAGCTGTCTGGAGTTGTGACATCAAGGCTCAATCTGTGGATTAGCAGGACCCAGGAGTCAGGAGATCAGGACCCCCAGGTACCCTGTCCCTCTGGGGTGGCTCTTGTGGGACTCTTTTGGGATAGAATGACCTGGCTCAGGGGAGGGACAGCCCCAAAGCAAAGGATCATTTCAGGAGTGGAAATGGTGTGGAGGTAGGCGGCTGTGGGGGGCCTGCAGGTCAGAAGGTGGCAGAGTGGAGGCTTAGGTCTGGGGTCCTTGTCCACTCCATGCTGATTGGTGGCAGGCTGGGGATCCCCTGCCCCTCACCAGCCCTGCCTTAGTTTCTGGTGTCTACCCCAATATTGTCAATCAGGAGGTACAGAAACAGTTGGCAGCTGCCAAGAGGACTCAATGGGCCAAGAAGTCAGAATCCTTCCTGGATGTCGAGGTGAATGGAGTAACAGGGACCCGGCCTGGGAGAAGAGGGTTGTGGGTGCACAGTGTGCAGAGGAACCCGCCCCCCCCCCCCAACCTGCGTGCAGATTCACTAGCTGGCAGTCACACAGTATGAGCCTCAGAGTGCCCCAGTCCCTGCGTGCCCAGGCTGGACCCAACATGGACATACCAGTAAAGTCCTGGTTTTGCTGAACAGCTCACAAAGCCCTGCCGGCTTCAACCAGCAGACTGGGTCTCTGACCTCGAGGGTGGGGTGGAGCTTGGCATGAGGATGCCTTCCTGTCTGGAGATACCCTTTCCTCATCCTCACTCACCTTTGCCCCACAGGTGTGACACCCCTGCTTGCTGAGACAGTTCAACCAATGTGCCTCTCAAGGGCCTCCTTCAAGCCAGGCCCTGCCTCCCGAAGCTGCATCTCTGTCTCTCACTGCTCCCCCACCCCCCTTCTGCTTCTGGACCTGTCTGGCCAGGGCCCTTAGGGGCCAGCAATACAGTGACATGCAGCCAGCTCCTTCTCAGGGCAGCCTCTGGGGTGGCTGTCCCTGGCACCTCTTTGCCCTGATTCAAGCATCCCAGATCCAGGACGCAGTAGCAGCCCATTGGGGATGTGGAGCCTCAGCATCCTCAGAGGCCCCCTCCCTTCTGCCCACTTCCACGGACATCAGGAGGGGGCCACCCCCAACTCCAGTGTCACGTCTCATCTGCTCCCAGCTGATGCCTGCATGTGCCTGGGAAGTCTCCTGCACTGAGGCCTGGACCTACATGCCTTAGCCGCTGTGGGCCTGTCCCCCACCCCAGGCCAGGCAGGGAAGGAGCCTCCCTGTACCCACCGTCCACGTGCCCTGTCATCCTGCTTTGTTCTCTACACCCCCAACCCCCCACCCAGCCTGTTGCCCTGGCTGGGAGCTCCCGGCCTTTATGTGCAACAGATTATTTTATTGTATCAGAAAAGCTTCTTCTCAGGAAGGATCTGATAAACTCTTTCACTCTCAGGTGTAAGCAGTGGATGATACTTTAAAAATGAATTCCTAGGGCCAGGGATTTGGCTCAGCAGGCAAAATGCCTGCCTGGCAAGAAGAAGGTTGTGAGTTCGATCCCTGGTTCCAAAACAAAGACAAAACAAAATGAATTCCTTCCCAAGGAAGGCTTTGCTTTCTAGCATGAACCCTGCTATGAGGAGGATCATTCTCCTTATCACTCCTGTTCTTCCAGTATGGTGGTGGGTTTGCCACTCGGAGTTATTGCTTGGTTACTTGGGAGTCTAAAGTTGCCATGTACACATCCCAACCTTCCCCCCAAATCAAGCCCCCCATTACTGTAATATCATGGCCTGCATGGGCTGGAGAATGTTGAGTCATCAGGGAATTCAGGACTAACCAAACCGAGAGACTAAAAAGGCAGTCTGGTTCCCTGCACTCACTGTAAGGCTGTAGTGTAAATAACAGCTTTGTTCTGTAGTCATTGGAACTGGTAATCTCAACTGACTGCTTTGGTCCACTCCAAATCAAGGGGGGCGGGGGAGGCGGGGGAGGTCACACCTAGGGATTTTCCAAGCTTCTCAGCATGGCCTCTAAGGTGCACCAGGCCCCAGGTCCCTCATCTTTTACTTTGTGATCCTGGGTGAGGCTTCTGCCTTGGTTCTGTGGTCCAGGGCATGGAATGCTCTGAGTTCCCTGTATGCAGGCTTCCCAGTATCCCCAGGCCGGCTGTCTCCATCAGTGAGTCTCCCATGGCTGCCCTTGCTTGCACTGAGGTTGAGTGGCACTTCCTGGAGCCTGGCCTGAGCATCCACATCCAGCATCTGAGCCGCAGCTTCTCCAGGCAGCTCCGCAGCTGAGAGTTGACTGGAGATGTAGGAGACCACAGCTGCTCTGGCCCTGCTGGGACTTCCAGCTGTGGCCCTGAGACATGCCCCTTCTGAACCTCGGGGTTCAAGCAGGTGACCTCAAAGGACTTTCAGATGCTCAGGAGCTAAGTTTTGGAAGGTTCCTCCGGCAGGCAAACAGGCTCATCTCAGGCAGTGGACGGGCTGTGCCTTTGTGCCTGTACCCCTCCCTGGATTGTTCATCAGGGTAGGTTATTGGGGCGAAGACAGGCTACAGCTCCATGGCACCCTCTCCTTTGCACCCACACATCCAACAAGGGAGGGTCCTGACTGCATCCTGTTGAGGAGGCAGCTGATAAGCCAGGAGACAAATGCACAAGACAACCTCAGCTGGGACTAAAGCGGAGCATGGTGGTGACCATGACAAGTGGGCAAAGGACCCCTCTTGGAGGAGGTGATGCTTGAACGCCCTCTGGAGGGAGAATGGTTTCCCACCTGCTTGCCACCCCTTCCTACTCTCCTGCTACCATGGCCCTGGAACCCCTCAAGTCCTGTCCTCTGCGGGTTCTCAGCTTTGAGCCCCAGCTTGCTGCTACCTGCTACTATAGCATCACCTTTTCTTCTGCCTCCCATTGGCACTGGCAGGTGACTATCAGCTCCAAACGTGCTGTGCCAAGGTGTGGCTGCTAGATGGTGACTAGCTTTTCTTCTGAGCTAAGTGGGTGCTCCCAGCTCTCTGGATGAAGCACCTGACGCAGAGTGAAAGCCTCATCCCATGGTCTGTGAATAGGAAGAATAGACTGGCTTTTCTTGGATTTTTGTGGCAATTTAGATACCCAGATCCCTTGTCAGGCATCCATGCAAACAAATTATGCACTGTTGGAAGGATTGTTGGGCTTACTAGGGAGCAGTGACCCACAGAGTGGCTCCAGTTAAAGGGGGGTTGAGGAAAAGCAACTCTTACATTCTAGGAGATGCCGGCAGATGGGGCAAGGCATGGCCCCGGTGGGCCAGTGTGGGAGATAGGTGCGGAGGCTGCCCCTGATTTTTCTCTGGACAGCCTGGTTCCTTCTTCACCATCACTCCGAATCTGCTCCCAGCATCTGCTTCTCTCTGTCAGGCCCCTCTGCTTCCCAGGAGCTGGCAAGGGGAGGGGCTGTGGGTAAACCTGGTGTTGGGGAATCAAGGCTGAGGGCTACTGTGACTATTGAGGGGACACTGTCAGCTGAACGATGAGGCAGGAATCTGCTAGCAGTGTGGGTGCGGAAGAAATGAAGTCCCATGTGCAGAGGATTGAGAGGGGGTAGCAGCGGATGTGGTCGTGTCCCTCACACTGTCAGGGCTGAGGAGAGAGCACCAGGGTGCTGGGCTGGGATCAGGTGAGGGGAGAAGGAATGAGTGGGGCTGGCTTTCTCTGTCCAGGAACAAGCAGAGAAGAGTTTGGATCACTAATGAGCAAGATTGGGAAGTATCAGGGGCCCAGGGCCCCTGGGGCATGTGGGGGCACGTGGGGAAAGATGGGCCCAGTCTAGAACAAGGACTTCCTTCAGGGTTGGGCAAGACTAGGCCACGGAGATGCAAGGGATTGAGGAGAGAGTCAGTTCAGCTGTCCCCAGACTCGATTTGCACTGCTCCTGTATTTGAGGGACACATGCAAGTCGAGGGCAAAAACCCTGGGCCCTGAGCATATGCATCCTACAGTCTGGTGAGGTTAGATGGTCATGGTTACTAATCATGATTTCAAAACCCTTAGAGAATAAACTTCAATCTCTTGCCTCCGTCACATAACCCAGTGACCCTTCCAAGGAGAGTGGCTGTCCTAACCTGTGTCTGACCTCCTCTAGCAGTTCCAAACCATGCCTCAGAAGGAGGGCTTGGTCTATGACCTTGGGCTCTTGGAGAAGGCCCACTTTACAGGTGCTATCACTGAGGTCCATGGAACCTGCAAGCTGCCTGAGGCTTCTTGGCCCGTTGGAAGCAGCTGCAGCCCAGAGGACATCTTCACCCCCAGTATCATTGGTGATGGAGTTACAGATCATGCCTGCCTCTGTCTGCAGGGCCCTGGGGCAGAGACTCATGAAATATCTCGGAAGTTGCCTTTGCTACCATCCTTGCTCCCAGCCGGCCATGGGTTACTGGCGTCTGTTTTATCAGGACTCTCAAGAGGGACAGCTGGTTTGTGTTACAAGCCTGCTCCCTGCATATCTGGTCTGGTTTTAAATAGCTTATCTGAGCAGCTGGAGGACCACATGGGCTTATATGGCGTGGGGTACATGTTTCTTTAGCCCTGTCTCCGGCACCTGCCAAAATAGCAGCCAACACCCCTCCATTGGTCCCCCCCCCCATCTCCTGCTGCACATTCCTGCCACCGCAGGGCTTGGCTCCCAAGGCCCCAGCCCACATGCCTGCTTAAAGCTCTCTCCATCCCTGCCTTTGCCCAGTCCCCACCAAGGCGAGCAGACACCTCCGGGACCTACTGGCAGCCCCTGTTCAGAGGTAAGACTGGGCGAGGCTCTAGGGAAGGGAAGGGCTGGAGGGGGCATGAAGGTCTGGGGCCTCCCAGCACTGCCTGTCCCCACATGGAGTGGACGCTGGGTGGAGAGTGGTCCATAGTCCACAGAGAGGAGGCTGCTTCAGAGGAGGTGATGAGGAGCCTGGACTAAGACTAGCGCATTCGAGTGGGGACTGTATCAGCAGCTGGGGACGTGGTCTGAATCCCAAGTCTGCCACTAAAGATGCTGTGCAGTTGTAAAGTCTTGAGACCTCAGTTTCCTCATCTATAGAGGTTTTGGTCATTGCTGGGCCTCTGCCTGTCATAAATAGTGATTCTGTAGCCAGTAGGATTCCCCAAATTGCTGTCCACTCCATTGGCTCCGGGCCAAAAGCTACCTAAACCTTTCCAGTTAGGTTCTTCTTAGGGCTCAGAGCAGAGTGAGCCCATGGTCATAGTCATCTCTGGGAACTTGGATGCTGTCCTAGGAGCACTTGAAGCCCACTGTCCACAGGCAGGTGGGCCCCTGGGTTGTCCAAGCAGATGTGTGGATTCTACCAGACTTCATGACCCCATGTCCTTACCCTCCTCAGAGGAGAACAAGAGCTGGGCAGCTCTGGAGGGCTGGGGCTGAGAGGGCCTTTGAGGCTGTGAGCCAATCTTGTTGGCTTGAACAGTTAACTCTGGATCCAGGCCCCCCCCCCCCGCATGTCCCTTCAAGTGTGACCCTTGCCCCACCCCACCCCAACACACCCACAAGGACAGATCTTGTTCTTTGCCTGGGAATGACAGACAAAGAAAGATTTCTTTGCTATTTTAACTTCTCCCGGGCATGCTGAAGGAATATTCAGGAAGGGATTGCCTGGTGTGTAAAGAATTTCCAGTGCATTCCACTGGGAGTACAGCTGGGAAGCCACCCGACCTTCCAAATTCCTCCTCTGACCCTGTCTCATGGAGCAAGCTCTCCTCCCTGGGGCAAGAGAGGAATCTGAGAGGATCAGATTGCCTCTGCCCTCCCTGGTACCTGGCACTCACTTTTCCATCCTGAATCTCGGCCCTCCTAGTGGGTTGCCAACTGCAGGTTTAGGAAGATCCCAGCTGAGTGCTGGGGACGGGGCTGAGAGACAGGGTCAGCATTCCTCAGAAACATGGTGATGGTCTCTGCATGGCTGGAATCAGCTAACTTATAGCTAAGTCAACTGAAGGTCCAGAGGGTTTATGTGCCTTAACTGAGGTCATGCAATACAAACTGGGTTTGAAACCCTGATTGTTTGACACCCAGAGAGGTCAATGCTCTTTCTGCCTTGTTTTTCTTTACTCCCTAGGAAAGGTGACCCTGACCTCCTGCTGAGAGGCTGCAAAATAGCAGTAGAGGAAGAGGGGCTGGGTTGGGACACTCAGAACCTTGTCTTGCCAGGTTCTTGACCTTCTCTGGCTCTGCAGCCCCAGGCTCAGCCTACAGCCCCTGTCTCCTGCATCAGGTCCTGCTCTGACCAACGACCCAGCTGTGTCTTGTCCTCCCTGCTGAGAGTCGCCACCCCGCCCCCTTGGTCTGGTGTTATTATAGGAGCTGGACGGTGTTCGCAGGAGCAGGAGGATTCCTCTGAGCCCCAGCAATGTGCCCAGAGGCTAGAAGGGTCAGCCACACACAGCCTCCCAAGAAACTTCTCCCTCCTCCCCACAGAACAGGTTCCCCCCTGGGCTCAGGGAACAGCCCCCTTAGTTCTCAGGTCACAGACTCTGGCCTCTTCTCTTTGGCCACCATCCTCCTAGACAGATTCGGAGATCCTCAGCTGAATGAGGTTCTATTCCTTATCACGATATCTTACACATTTGCCATTTTCCACTCATCCTTCTGTCCTGCCGAGGGGGCCAGTGGCTCTGGGCTGCGGTCCAGAGCGCCCTGTCTGTGGTTGCTGCTTGCTGGACTTCATCCTGCTCCAGCAGAGGGCGCAGGGAGAGGCTCGCTCTGCTTCTGTCGCGCCTGTCCCTAGTGGGTGCTGAGTTTGGGAAGTCTTTACCCAGAAGGATATCATGGAATGGTGGCATCTCCCACGGAACCTCTCAGCCTCAGAGGAGCGGCTTTGCGGGAGACCCCACTTCAGTCTGGGAGAGCGCTAGTCGTTGCAGGCTGTCCGCAGACGGGGGTCTGGGGCTGGTCGTGACGCTGGCGTTTCAATGAACAGGGAGACGGGGCAGCAGTGAGCAGGACTGCCCGTGTGTGTTGACCTCACCCTGGTACCTTGAGTCAGGCTGAACTCGGGGCCTTGGCACAGCCCTGGCAGTCCCCAGCGTGGGGTAGGAGAGAGGGGCAGGACAGGGTCCCACCCCTCATTCTGATTCTACCCGGTCCCAGCCTTCCTTCACATCATACGCTCCCTTTTCTCCCTCGCAAACTGATTGCAAACAGCAGGGGGCGCTGTGCACATTTCAATCAATGTGACGGTGGCCCAGGGCTGTCATGGCTCAGGAGGTGGGGTGGAATCGTTAGCTGAGCGCCTACTCTGGGCTGGAAACTTTACACCAGCTCTAGTCTTTGTGTCTTCCCCAGGAGAGGAGTAATTCACAACAGGGAGCAGGAAAAGGAAAGGGCAGTACCAAGGTCACACACCAAGGTATCAGGGAGCCAGGGTTTAAAGCCAGATTGGCTTCACACTGCGGGCCTTGTGCCTGTAATTACGCACGACTTCGCCTAAGGCCTCCCAGATCGATTTGATCCTCATAAAGACCTCTAAGAGCAAGGACGCGTACACTTTATCTCTATAATACAGTGCAACAACTGAGACCAGAGATACTAGAACGCTGTGGCCACACACCCTCAGCAAGGGAATGGAAGAGGATTTAGACCCAGATTGCTCCTATCACAGCGAGAGAAATGTCTCCAAACAAGTCCACTAGGGACACTTTTTCCTTCTTCTTCCAGTACTGGAGATTGAACCAAAGGCCTTTGCACTGAACTACATCCCCAACCCTTCTTATGCATTTATATATTTATGTATGTATGTATTTATTCAGACAGGGCTTCATTAAATTGCTAAGCAATATATAATTACGCCACTTCAAGAATGCTATAGAAATAGGCTCACCCATATATGAACTTTAGAATTAGCCTTCCCCAACTGACAGAATTCCTGGAGAGTCAGCCAAACTGCTTCGGATATCAGCATATCAAAGATGCACGCATTTTTCATTACTCAGTAGTGTTCAATCCACTCTTGGGTGTGACCACCCTTGCAGAGGTGCTTGTGCAGGGATGAAACCATCAGTGAGGACGGGTGGGGCTTGTCAATGCACTGCTCCCTGAATGCTTCTGGGGATGGGAAAGGTGGAAAAACTGCCAACATTGCTTAGGGTTACAAACAGGGAAGTATAAGTCTGGGCAGCATGTCTGCTTGGTGGCAGGGAATGGAATGGGTATTGGCTGGCCACCTTGCTGTGATGTGGGACTGTGCTGTCCCCTTTGCAGAGGAGAAGACAGGTCATATAAGTCATATGTAGAAAGGGATGGGATGAGAGTCACCCCGGGCTCCTTGATCCCTCTACCCTTGGGAGCTGGAAGTCCTTTGAGGAAGGTGGGCTTTCCTTTCCACTCATGCTGACACTTTTCTCCTTCTGGAGGGAGAGCAGAGACGATGTCTGACACTGAAGAGGTGGTGGAAGAATACGAGGAGTAAGTATCTGAGGGTGTCCCATCCTGAGTGCCCCCCTCCATGCCATCCCCATGCCGGCTCCAGGAGCTCCCTAGCGGCCTCAGCATCCAGGCGGAAGCAGCTGGCTGTGTTTTCAGGAAGCCAGGAAAGATTTACCCTGTTCCAGGCTCTGCACTGCTGTACCTTGTGCAGCTGGTGCCTGGCTGACCTTCGGCCCAGGGGCTTTGGAAACACAGGAGCTTGGCTCCAGTCAGCAGGTCCTGCCCGGCTCGAGCAGCCAAGACATGAGACTCCTGGGCCTGACCAGAAAGGTCCAGGACTCCCGCAGCTCCAGAGCTGATCACACCCAGCGTGCCCATCCAGGAAGCCAGTGTCATCACTGCCTTGGGGCTCTATTCACCCCCAACTGCCCGCTGCCAGTCCCATGCTGGGAGAAGCCAGGCCCGGACACGGGCAATCCCTCCTGGGGGCAGCATCCTTGGAGGATGTGGAGCTACAGATACAGCTCTGTCATCACGAATTTGCTCAGCTGCAGTGAAGGAAGAAATTAGCAACCAGGGGTGACACATGGAGGGGCTCTGGCAAGGCTGTGCAGAGAATTAGGGTGGAAGGTGGAGATGGGCTTTGTAAAAAGCAGAGCTCCCTGCGGGAAGCTCAGAGGAGAGGTGGGAGCAGCTTGGGCAGAACGCTGGGCTGCAGAGCTGGCTGATGGGAGGATCCCTGGGCACAGCAGCAGGGGTCCTGGTCAAGAGGAGGGGGGCCAGAATAGCAGAGTGTGAGGGGAGAAATGCAGAGTGGGGTATCCTGGGGCGGTGCCAGTGCTAGGGAGAGTGTGCGCTCACATGTGTGCAGGTGATGACTGTCCCTTCTCTCGTGCTCAGGGACCAGGAAGGTAAGCGCACACGTGGGTGCCCACTGGATCAGGCCAGCAGTGATTGGAAACTGACCCACTCTTCTCTCTCCTTTTGCTGCCCTGCCTTCTCTTCGGAGCAGAAGCTGTGGAAGGTTTGTACCTTGGGCGGGTGGAGGCCCAAAGAGGAGGGAGTGCGGGCACTCTGACCCGAGAGCCCCAGAAGGCAGCTTGGGTGTGTCTGCCCCCACTCTCAGCTGAGCAAAGCTCTCCCAACAACTGTGGCTCCTTGGGGGAGACCCTCCTATCTTGTTTGCTCAGGTCTAGGGACAAAAGGTTTAATTAAATCTGTCTCCTCTGTTGGCCTTTTATTCACCACTTTTTCAAGTTAATTATTTTTGCCCCCAGCTTCTTTTTGGCAGTACTAGAGACTGAACTCTGGGCATTTGCTCTGAGTTATATCTCCAGCCTATTTTGAATTTTTTTATTTTGAGACAGGGTCTCACTAAGTTGCTCAGGCTGGGTTTGAACTTAGGATCCTCCCAGAGTACTAGGGTTATGGGCTTTCTCTTTCTCTTTCTTTTTTTTAATTTGAAAAACTTGAAATAAATATAAAGATAGCAAAAAGGAAAGAGAGAAAATGGTATAACTTCTCCCTGCAATTGCTGGGCTTTAATATTCACCAGGTCATGGCCAGTGTTTTCCTTCTGTGCCCGATATCCTACCTCTAGTTGGTTTGGAGCAGATATGCCAAATAATTCCCAGACATAATGGCATCTCACGCTTTAGTATATCTCTCTAATGGGTGAGCACTACTTAAATAAGCCATAATCACAATGCCACGATTGCTCCTGACATCCTATTTAACAAGTTTTCAAATGAGAGTCTGAGTGTGCAGCGCTAAGCGCTAGGAGACAGTTCCACACCAGCCTGAGAGTTCTCCTTGTTCCCTTGCAAAGGGCCCTGCAGCCCAGATTCTTAGGTGTGGTAACACATCGCCCTCCTGAGCCCAGGTCCTCCCTGTCACTGGCCTCTTCTTACTCTGCGAGCTGGTGCCTAGGTGAATAGGAGACCTGGCTCTGGTCCCACTCCACCCCATACACCCCAGCGCTCAGGTGCCCGGGCTTCTGCACTACAGGCAGGCAGGAGCCTGTCCTTTAGCCACTCTGCAAATTCTCCAAGACACTGCTTGATCATGGATACCATGAGGATCTCAGCTCAGCAGCTGCCCCTGCCTTGTTCACTGGGCCTTCCTAGGGAAATCGAGGCAGCTCCTGCCCACGTGTGGACACCTCAGGAGTGTCTCAACAGAGATGATATGGGAGAGAAACTCCCAGGCAAGACTTAAAGGGCCCACGGGAGTCGTTTTGGTTTTCAAGAAACATAAAGCCCTGGGAGAGCAGCCTGAAATACCTTTTGAGTCAAAAATCTAGCGGGCTCCGACTTCTGCTGTGTCCCCGGCATGTACTCTTGACCTTTTGGGTCTCCTTTTGCTTTGGAGGATTTTCCACTTTATTAGGACAAACTTGGAGTGGTGAGGTTTGGGAAATGGACCTTGGGTTGGGACCAACCTGCCCTCTACACACAGTAGGAGTTGGCTGCGTGGTGAGGGTGGCCTCGCCCCATGCAGCACCCACCTTGCTTGCCGGGAATGGCCTGTAGCTCCCCTCACAGCCCAACCCAGGACCTGGCTGCCAATGACAGGGAGAGAAAGGCCTAGGTGAATGACCACAGGATGGTCTTCTCCCAGCAGAGAGACTGTTCCAGTGTTGCAGGCTGTTCCAAACTGGGCAGAGGCTTGCGTCTGGAGCAGTGGTGGTAGCTGCAATGTTTCCTTAGGGACACACTGCTGGCATTGCCTTAAGTGGTATGATTCCCTTCTCCAGTACCTAGTGCCTAACAGGGCTTCCCAAATGTGACAGTTGGAAACTAGACTTTTTAAAAGTGGTACTGGGAATTGAATTCATGGTCACTGAGCTATAGTCCCAGCACTTTTTATTTTGAGACAGGGTTAAGTCACTGAAGTTGCTCGGGCTGGACTTGAACTTGGGATTCTCCTGCCTCAGCCTCCCAGAGTGCTGGAATTAGAGATGTGCACCACCACACTCAATGAGATATGTTTGTGAGATGTCTTAGGGTGGGAAGGTGGAGAAGTTTGATGGGCACGAATTGCCTGCCCCCCAACTATTTCAGGGCACTTGTGTTAGGAGGAGGAAAACAGGCTCTGTGGTCCAGCGGCAGGCAGGGAGCTATGAGTTAGTGCTTACCAAATGCTTTGCTTGTGCCAGGCACTGCTGCCTACCCGTGGCACACTTGACATTCCATCCCCACATTGGTGGCAAAGCGAGCCTCAGGGTGTGCATGTTACTGACTCAGGGATGTTGCTAAGGCAATGGCCCAGGACTTGGATGGCAGGCCCATTCCCAGCCTGCTCTGGAAAGCTCTGTGCTGGCCTGCGCTGCTGCCTGGGCTTTCCGCTCATTCTAACCTGTCTGCTTCTCCCGTCTGCTGCTGCTGCTGCTCCCTGACCTGGAAGACGAGGACTGGCGAGAGGACGAAGACGGTACTAGAGCTCTCCCTGTCCTGCTTTTCACTCCCATGTTTTCCAGCTGCCTGCTTGTCTGTGGGGTGGGGTGTTAAGTGGGTCCTCAGCATCAGGGGGACCAGCACCACAGAGCTGAGGCCTCTGTCATGTCTCTCCTTTCGGGCCACTGGCTCTTTCTCCTGGCTCCTGCTATTTCCTACTGGGCTTGTCTTCCACCTTCTCCAGTGTGTAGAGGCTCCTGGAGGCGTGAGTGGCCCATGCACCCATCCTGCACACTGCATATTGCGGTATCATATGCTGGGCTCCTCCCAGTGAGCTGGCCAGCCCCAGGCAGAGTGGACAGCGTCTGAGAGGCCTGGAGACAGAGTCATCTGAAGAGCATCTGGGGGCCAGGAAATAGCTGAAACAGAGAGGACATGATGTCAGCCTTCAGATGGGCACTGTGGAGGGCTGGGGCGGGGCTGGACCTGGTCCCAGTGACCAGGGAGAGCACAGGGCGAGGGAGATAGATTGGGGCTTAATTTTAGAAACAGACTTTCCCACAGCAATGCCACGAGACACAATAGGTGGCCTGGGGAGGCAATGGGTCCCTTCCCAGGGCTGTATTGTGACTAGGGGGTGAGTGGCTGTTGGAAACAGAGAACAGAAATGGTGGGGTAGAAGAGGTGATCACTTGGTGACCCAAGGTGGACCCTACAGGAACCCAGTCCTTTCTGGTCTGTACTTTTTAAAAAACACCTTCAGGAAGGGTGTTTTCAAGGGAAGTGTTTTTGGTGAAGAGCCACCGCAAGGCTTCAGACCTCAGTAACAGGGACAGTGAGGGGGAGGCAGAGAGGTCGGATGCCTCTGGCTTCTGTCCTGAGGTTTTTTCTTCTCCCACTGCCAAGATCTACCACTTGCTGGCTTCTCAGTAGACAAATGTTACCAAGCACTTCCGGGCACCATCCTGTCTGCTAATCTGTCTGTCTCCTCCAAGTACCGGAAGGGGCAGGTTCATCTCCTGTGGATGTAAATAGAAAAATCCTGACAACCTTTTGGATAACACAGATATTAAATGTCGGGCATCTCACCCACTTACATGGCCTTGCCATTTGGTTTCTTTGGGATATGGAGGCAGGGTCTCTAGACTGGTCCTGGGGCAGGGCACGAACTTACCGACACCCCTCCTTAAGCAGAAAAGCCTGTTCTGTGACATCAGGCACTGGGCAGAATCTGCTGTAGGAGGTTGGAGAATGGAGCCAAGGGGACCTTGAAGATGGAAGATCTAAATGGGGCAGAAGGAGCCCCAGACAGAAGCCCTGCCTCCCCAGGCTTGCTGGGCTCACCTCTTCTCAGGTGCTGCCTGCAGCATCCATCACACTGGAGCATGATCCTACCCCGATTTACAGCCCTCCCACTGGTCTCCACACTAGGCAAGACTCAGTTCCAATTCCCAAACTCCCAGAGAGGGAAATTGGGAAAGAAAGGACTCTTCGCTAGCCTGATCATGTCCGTGCAAAGGAACAGAGAATAGACAGCTTGGGCTTCACGGACGGAGTGGTCTCTGTTGCAGTGACTCAGCTCAGCTCTGCTGCTTAGCACAAAAGCAGCCAAAGCACACTGAAGAGTGGATGTGGCTATGTGCCAAAACAACTTTATTTGCACAAATAGTTGGGCCAGATCTGGCTCTTGGGCCATAGTTTGCTGAATTTTGGTTTAAACCAAGAACTAGGCAGCCTCCTGTCATCCCTAAGTTCATGTGACCCTGGACGTTATTGACTTCCACCCCACCCTCTCTTGTCTGTCTTCTGTCCTGGGTGCTTTCTGATAGCATGAGCAGGGGCCTAGTTTTTCACCATATTTGGTTCACTTCTCCAGAGCAGGAGGCAGCGGAAGAGGAGGCTGACGGTGGGGCTGGGGCTGAGGATGAGACGGAGGAGGCTAAGGCAGAAGGTGCGACCTGGGGATGAGGGTGCTGGGCTGGAGGGTGGCTGTCAGCAGCCACTTGAAGCACGCTTCCTAACCTGTGTGCTTGCTCCTCCTGACTGTGCTGGGGGACCGATGTTCACTACCTCATCAATGCACACTGAGAAGCAGTGGTTATTTTGTGTCACACTATCTTGAGCTTAGGGACACACGTGTGTGAAAGACAACTCCCTGACACTATAAACTAGCAGGCTGCTCTTCACTAGGACTTATCTGTGGGGAGAGTTTCTGGGGGGAATTTGAGTGCAGAATGAGGAATTTATTAGTTCCTTTTGTTCTGTTTAGAGGATGGAGAAGAAGAAGAAGGCAGAGAGGCTGAAGGTAAGAATTGTTGGACATTGGAAAGAGGTCTCAGGGTGGCAACAGACCTCTCCCAGCAGCTCTGGGAAAGATGGCCCACAGGGTTCCTTCCAGGGAGTTAGGGACGCAGGAGGGGACAAACTTGGTGCTAGAGGCTTTCAGATGTTGCACCCGCCCCTCTCAACCCTGAGAAGCCGCCTTGCTGGTCCAACACCTGTCTGAGTAGGATAGTGGGGCCCAAAAATCAGGTTCACTCAGGGGACAGGTAGTCCATGTGGCAGGTCCCTGCTCTGGTCGTTGTCCTATTGCTGCTGTTACCAGGATGCCTGGTGGTTAGGCCTGCACAGGGGACGGTATAGCTGGCTGGGGCTTGGAACCACATCCATAAGCTTCCTGATCCTGTGACAAACAGGAAGTTCAGAGCACACTGAGAAGGAAGACTTGGTGGGGGGGAGGTCTGGGGTTGGAACCCCTGAGGACCTGGGGGCCTTTCCTGAGAAGCAAATCTGCCTTGTCCAGAACTGGTGGCTGAGAGAGGGCTTTGCAGCCCCAGGTGAAGAATGTGTACCTTGCTGGGGGCTGCCTCAACGGGGCTGGAGCTCAGAATCTCCTGGGCAACTAGGGAAACTGGGGAAACTAAACTCATCAGGGCTGTGGCTGTGATCAGGTCTGGGCCTCCTGATGCCATGGCAGTATGTGTCTCTGTCTTCCAGATGGACCAGTTGAGGAGTCTAAGCCCAAGCCCCGGTGAGTGGCATGCACCTGTGTTGGAGCCCTGGGAGCAGAAGACCAGGGAGGGAGGGTGATGGGATGGGACTGGGGTGCAGTGGGCATGAGCTGGGGGTGTAGCTGGTATTGACTACCACATACGGTTGTCCAGGTTGTGTACTGCATAGAGATGTCTTTCTGGGTGGGTGAATGGGGGCTGAATTCCCTCCTACACTCCACTATCAATCATGCACTCTGGTATGGATGGGGCTACGTTTATCTAAAGAAAGGAGATGGACTAGTGGTGTCCCTGGGTGGACATCCTTTCCTACCCCACAGGGTAGCTGGAGCACCATCCTCCATGAAGGAGGAGCCTGGGGAGAAAGGGAGCCAATTCTGGGGAGCCAAGCAATAAGACCATGACAGCAGAGAGCTGCAAAGGGGCAGAGCAAGGTGACATGGCCCAGGGTTGGGGGACAGATTTTCCTCCTGGCAGAGCTCATCCTGCCACCAGGCGTCACTCACAGGCTTCTCCTTGCATCAGTGAGAGCCCCTGATCCTGGCCCTGCCCCTGCGCACACCAGTCCTAGTTCCATCCAAGTGTCCCTCACCTTCCCCTCTTCTCGCCCCTGGACGGACCCTGCGGTGTCTCACTGAGGCTCCACTCAGACCTGAGGGCGGATGGGGAACGAGGCGCCAGGGACCCACCTCGCACACTCAGTGCAGCACTGCTGTGTCCGGCGCATTCCACGTGGAGGCGGACAGTCCTGCCACTGGTCCAGCCTCTCTGCTTCCCAAACGTGCAGTTTTGAGCAAGTCACTCTCCGAGCTTCCTTACATGAGATGCTGCTGCATCCTTTGTGGGTATAATGCAAGGAAACGACTCACGAGAGAGCACCGTGTCACCCCTGTGCTGGGCCAGAGGACCCTGGCGTGGACATCAGCAGTGGTGTCACTCAGAACCACAGTGGGGAAGGAGAAGCCCTGGGGTCCCCCTGGGGTTGCTGCTCCATGACTGCTTATTCCTTTCTCCTGCAGGCTGTTCATGCCCAACCTGGTGCCACCCAAGATCCCTGATGGAGAAAGAGTGGACTTTGATGTGAGCAGTGGTGGTTGGTAGCACAGGCCCTGCCGGGGTGGCCACAGAGTCACAAGAGGTCTTGGATGGTGCTCGGCATAGACCAGGCCCTGGGCTCAGGTGCCTTCTGCATTGAGCAGGGGGTACGGCCTCTCAGCCCCTGGGACCCCTACAGGACATCCATCGGAAGCGCATGGAGAAGGACCTGAACGAGCTGCAGACGCTGATCGAGGCCCACTTCGAGAACAGGAAGAAGGAAGAGGAGGAGCTCATCTCTCTCAAAGACAGGATCGTAGGTGTCCAGTTGAGACCCCTCCCCGCCCCCGCAGCCCACCTTGTCCCCCCCACCCCGCTTCTGCCAGGGTCTCTGGAGCTGCTCACCTTGCTGAATGTGAGCTGTCCTTCAGCACCGCTGCAGTGGCCCTGCATGGTGGCTGCTCGAGTCCTTGCCTCTTCTCCCTGCCATCTTGGATGCTCCTTGCTGGTAGGAGCTGGGTCTGATGGCTTCCGGCTTACAGCAAGGCCTCATCCAAGCAGGGCCTGTAGCATGAAGAGCTGAACACCTGTGGTCCCACCCCACCCCGCCCCCTTCTCCCTTCCCCACTAAAAGCAGGGAGCCCCATAGTGACTTGCAGTCCCAGGTCCCTGCACTGGGGAGCAGGAGGCTGCTTGATTCCTTTCTCTCTGCCTCACTTGCCTGTCCACAAATGTGTGCTCTAGGTGACAGCCCATGTTTTCGTGTCATCTGCTCCTGGCTGGAGCAGAGCCAGGAGAATAGCCCTCATGGGAGACAGAAACTGCCTGTCTTTCCCCACCTGTTGAGAGTCTCCCCTGAGCTGTGTTCCACGTGGGTCACCTGCTCGTGCCCTCTTGTGGTCACACTTACATCCACCTGGAGAGGGCTGCCTCTGCTGGCCTCTGTGGAGCTAAGAGCAGAAGCGTTGGAGGAAGGGCACCCTTGGGGCGTCTCTGCACCTCAGCTGCAGGTGCCGCCTCCTCTTAGACCCACAAGGACCTCTGCCTCTCCCTGCAGGAGAAGAGGCGGGCCGAGAGGGCGGAGCAGCAGCGGATCCGGAATGAGCGGGAGAAGGAGCGGCAGAACCGCCTGGCTGTGAGTGACTTGGCCACGCCAGATCCCCCAGCGCTCCCAGCTCCCGCCAGCCCTAGCCCCTCCCCATTCATAGACAGCGAGTCAGTCAAGAGACAGCCTGCACCGAGCAAGCTCTCCATTGTCCTGGCTTTGGTTACGCGCCAGGGAACAAGACCACGGTGCTGGGCCTTGTGGACGTGATGTATGGAGACTCTATCCCTTCTTCCTTCCCCAGTGCAGGTTACCTGGGGACTAAGGGTGGGCACTTCCTGTGGCTGCTGATGGCCCCTCAGCAGCAGCAGGCCCTCTGGAGGATCTCCCAACCTGCGGGACAATTGTAGCTTGCAGCTGGCAAGGAGGACCTTGTGCATTTGCACATTCATTCAGTAAACTGTTGCATGCCCGCTCTGAACCCACAGAGAGCTCCTTGCCCAGCAGGGATCTCGCCTGGAAGCACCCACAGCTTCAGTCCAGAGTCAGGGTGTCCCACCCTTGCCCACAATGTGCTCCCTTCCTCCTCCCTGAAAATCAGGAAGAGAGGGCCAGGAGGGAGGAGGAGGAGAACAGGAGGAAGGCCGAGGATGAGGCCCGGAAGAAGAAGGCTCTGTCAAACATGATGCATTTTGGAGGCTACATCCAGAAGGTGGGTTGTGGTTGGGGCATGAGGATCCCCAGGAAGTCAGGGGTGTCCATGAGGAATGAGGTATCTGCTGCAGCAGGCACTACAGGTTGAATCCCAGAAGGAAATTCCCAAGTGTGAGCAAGGAGAGTCTGAAGCCGCCTCATGTCCAGCCTTGAGCTGGCTCTCGGCCCACTGTGGCTTCGTGAGGAGGACCCTGCTGTGGGCAGAGGCCAGGGCACAGTGTCTGCCCCACCCACCCTGAGTCCAGCAGAGCCCAGGACTCCCTAGGCGGCTGGGTGCAGTCGGAGGTCTCTTGTTCCCGGGGTCAGACCTCTGGCAGGAGACCCAGCTCTGCTGCATGTCCTGATGCAGCCCTGAGCCCCAGATTCATCACCTGGAGCTAGTGTCCCCTGCACTGATGCTTTGAGGTCAAGTGCACAAAGCATCTGCAGCCTGCACAGATGTGAGTGATTTGCTCCTGGAGCTCACTCTCAGTTCTGCATTCCTACTAGTTGTGAAATCCATCTTTAGGCAGTGCAGGGGATCAGAGCATTATCTTGCATTTCCTAAGTTCCCAGCTCTGCCACCGTGCTTACCCCTGCCCCTCTACTGCCCCCATATCAGCCAAATGTTTGGCATGGCCCCAAGCCCCGGCCCCATGCCCTTACGCACTGGGCTGCTTATGCGAAGTCTGAATCACTTTCTCCTGTCTCTCTGCCTTTGTGTCTCTGTCATGTTCTGCCTTCTCTTTGTGTCTCTGTTGTGGTCTTGATCTTTCTCTCTGGGTCTATCTCTCATGGTTTCCTGGTTTAGCAAGCCCAGGTGGGTACCAAAACCTCAAAAGCACTCTTCTTCTCCTTGGTTTTGGGGAGCTCCCTGGGAAGGGACAGAACTTTGTTGCACAGACAAGAGCAGAAACTGGGCTGGCAGTGAGGAGGGACCCCGGGAGAGAAGGAAGAGGCTGGTTATCCTCAGGAAGGTGACCTGGTCCCAAGGGAACACCCTCTGAAGAATCCAGGCAGGTGATGATGTGGGGTGTTGCAGGATTCAGACGATGAGAACCTGGCCCTCCACAGGCTTCACCCCACAACCTGGGATGGCAGTGGAGTAGGGTTGGGTGTCAGGGGACAGGGAAGGGTAGTCAAGGGTCCCTGCTCACCACCCCTTTCAGACAGAGCGGAAGAGTGGGAAGAGGCAGACAGAGAGGGAAAAGAAAAAGAAGATTCTGGCCGAGAGGAGGAAGGTATTGGCCATCGACCACCTGAATGAAGACCAGCTGAGGTGAGCTGGACTGCCACGGGGTTGGCAGAGCGCACTTCTCTCTGAAGAACACCAGAGGGCGCTACTTCCCCACACATTTCCCTAAGCGGGTTGCTGGGGATGGGGTGGAAGGTCCCCGAGGACGCCGGGGTGGGGGGAGCGGAGCAAAGCAGCTCCCCCTTGCTCCCGGTTTTCAGAACGCTTCCTGGGTAGCCCCTGGTGTCTGTTGGGTCAGGATGAGGGCGAAGGCTAATGGAGGGCCATCTTTACCCCCACCCCATTCCCTCGGCACAGGGAGAAGGCCAAGGAACTGTGGCAGAGCATCTATGACCTGGAGGCCGAGAAGTTCGATCTGCAGGAGAAATTCAAACAGCAGAAATACGAAGTGAGCAGCACGCGGTCCCTCCCCCTGCCCTGCTCTTGTTTTGATGTTCCTTCCGCCCTTTCCCCTGCCCCATAGATCCACTCACCTCATGTGCCTGCGGTGGTTTCTCACCTCCCACATTGCTCTGTCTCCGTCCCTCAGCCCTGCTCTGCTCCATTCCTCAGACCTGCTCTGCTGAGCCCCCTTCGCCCCACCCCAGGCCTCTAGGACCTGAGCTCACTGAGCCCTAGCGGTTTTGTTTTTCCCATGCCTTTTACAGATCAATGTTCTCCGGAACAGGATCAATGACAACCAGAAAGTGTAAGTTCTGAGGTCCTTTCATGGCCCACTCTCAGTCCCTTAGTCCTGGTCTTCCAGCCATGCCCCTCTCCTCTGAGAGTTCTGGGCTCCATCTCTACGTTCTTCAGCTGTGGTCTTCCTTTTTGGGCTCCTCCTGGACCTCCCTTTTCACTCCCCCTTGGCCACTGCTCGGAAGTAGATGGAGTGGATGGCCAGAGAGGTCTCACTCCCGCCTGTCTGCGGCTGCTGTCACCTCTGCCCCTGCAGGCACCTCCAGGCTGCTCCCGGGAACCCTCAGCATCCTCTATCCTGCCCTTTACCCTGTGCAGCCCCACTGCCCTGCCCTGTGTCTCCCACTGACTGGGCGCTGCTTCCCTTGCAGCTCCAAGACCCGCGGGAAAGCCAAAGTCACTGGGCGTTGGAAATAGAGGCTGAGCCTTCTTTGACAAAAACCTGCTCCTTGCTGTGTCCCTGCCCTGCACACCCCTAGCTGCTGGGCCCTCCTGGGCACCTAGAGTGACTCCTGCCTGGAACCCAGGAGCTCACCCAGCTGGAAGTCAGCACTCCTGCCTGTCCCCATGCCTACACCACACCAGGAATAAAAAGGTGTTGCACAGTGCACACACTGAATGGCATCTCTGTCATTTCCTCTGCGGCAAGACCCTGTCCTCCAGGGAGCCAGAGTGGCCTTTAGAGCCTTGGGGACAAGGCCCCTGATGTCTTGACCAGGCTTGGAGAAGCTTCTGCCTGCCTGGCCATTCCACCTGCCTCCAGCTGGGGAGAGGCTGATGGCCAAAGGAGGCACGTAATTTCTCAGAGCCTGGGAGGGAAGCAGAGGGACGAGGCTTGTGAATGTGGCCCCTGTGAGTCACCCAGGAGCAGAGCTCTGGGAAAAGCACTGTCCCATCCCTTGGGGAGGGTGCATTCCCTGTGTGAGTCACTCCCGGGGGACAATGGAGGCCTCTCTGGATGGTTCCTGTTTTCTTTCTCTTCCTAGCCTGGGCGTGAAGGGCCAGGCGTCTGAGGGCCACGGGGCTCTCAAAGGAAGAAGGAGGGCTGGTTTCATGGCAAGTCAGCACAGCTGAGAGGTGTGGGCGCCTCTGAGTGCCTCATCCCCCCCCCCCTTCCTGTGACCTGCATGTCTTCTAGGATTTAAAGCCATAAACTGGGAGGAATCAGCAGGAGACAGAAACCTCATAGGATGGGTGAGCGCCTAACCCAGAAGCTCTAGGCTAAACCCCCAAGGAGGGACATCCTCTTGCACCCCCATGTCCAGCTCAGGCCATTGTCTCTGCCTGCCATGCCTCCTCCCACTCTCATATGCCATCAGACACAATACAGACATATTTATCCCCTACTACGTGCTAAGAGCTGTGTCACAGCGACACAGACATGAAAAGACTGTAGTCCTGAGCCAGCAGGGTGGAATGCCCTGCCCCATTTCCTATCCTGGGCCTAGCTATCCTATCATTCAGGAACTATGTCTTGAGCTCCGACTGTACTAGAGGCACCACATTGGGTGCAGGAGTGCTGTGGCCGATGCAGCCACAGCCCAGCAGAAAGAGGTGGCATGTCTCCTCCTCAGTGTGACAGCAAGGGGAGAGCAGGGGAAAAGCACAGTCACTCCCAGCTCCTCCTGGACCATGGCACACAGGAGGGCTTTCCCAAGGAAGTCGTAGGCAGGGAGGAGGAAGAAGACATCAAGGGAAAATGTGTGTGTGTGTGTGTGTGTGTGTGTGTGTGTGTGTGTGTCTGTGTGTCTGTGTGTGTGTGTGGAGGGGGAGGGACAGCTATACAGCATCCTAGAAGCAGAGGCCAGCATGGTGTGTTTGAAGAGCTGCAGTAATCAACAGAATCCAAGCCTCTTCCGGCAGAGGACAAAAAGGGCCTGGTGTAAGCATGGAGCACAGGTCCTTGGAGAGCTGTCCCCATGGTGTCTGGGAGCCCCACCTCCTGCTCCTGGCCAGACCCCAGCCCTGCTTGCTCCAGCCTGTCAAGAAGGATAGTGGACCCTTTGTCCCAGGCCCACTACCCTTGATGGGCACCGCAACCTCCCCCTCTCTTGCCTCCTTGATGAGGTGGGGGCAACCCAGAGACAGAAACATTGGGTCCAGAGCTGGGAACCATCCAGTCCTCACGGGCTCTCTACCACCTATGCTTTGGGGTCTCCTCGGAACAGCGGGTGGTAATGGTGCTGCTCTTCCCCTACCCAGCAAGCAGGTCCTTAGGTTCGGATCATCCCTCTGTACCCGCAGATGTGGGCTCCCCTAAAATCTGCACCCAGAGCTCTTCCCCAGGAGCAGCCTTTGCCTCTTGCCTTGGGCCTTCCCAATGGGTACATCCTGTGCAGTCTTTTCTCCTGAGGTCACACGGGCTCCAGGAAAGATTGTTTTCATTGCATTCGTCTTTGTGGTGAGAGCATTTACAGTCCTCTCCTTTAGCTCCTGTGGGTCCCCCTCTATGTGATTTCACTTTCCTTGGCTTTAGTTGCAGGGCATCAGTAAGAGCAAGGGTGAGCAAAGAACTAAAATGAAATAGAGAAAGAGAGTGAGGGGGACAGAGAGAGAGAGAGGGAGCACATTCACATATCATTCATTATAGCATTTTGTTGTAACCGTTCTATTTTATTACAGTGGTACCTTGGTGCATAAACTTAATTTTTCTATGATTTTGGTCACAAACCTAACTGGATGAGAACCAAATCAAATTCAATGGTTAGATTCAATGTTGACCCTATGGGGAAATTAGATTCGGTGCCGTGTGTCATTGGGGCCCCTGTAACATAAAGTCTGCACAGTTTGGAGATTTGCCTCTAACTGGTGTCTAGGTTAGTGTCCCTGTCCTGTCCCACTCACCAGGGAGGAAGTGAAGAGTGGCAGGCAGCAGGGGTCACACCTGGGATGTCAGCCCCACGTGGGGAGCCCTTCCACAGTCAACAAGTGTGTGTGAGGGCGCACGCCCCGTGTTCTGCCCTCTGTGTGGATGGTGGGGGGAGCTGTTCACATAGAAATGCACCCAGGTGAGTTCCTGCCTCAGCCCATCTGTTCCTTCCTGAGGCTCTGGCCCAGGACTCTCAGGACCTTGCTTACCCTGTGCCCAACCTTGAGATGCAGGTGAGGCTGCCACTGGCCTGGGCCTGCTGATCACCCAGGAGCCGAGTAGGCTGCCTCAGGCCACCTTTGGCCACCCAGACACCTGGCCCCTGTGGTGCTCACAGTCCCCAGGGACTATCTCTTTTAGGTCTCATTCCCTGCTCCGCCTTGGTCTGGCCCAGGTCCCTTGGCCTCGTAGATGTCTCCTTGCCTCTCCCACGTGCCTGGGGGAAAGCTCTGCTCATTCGAGTCAGAGAAGCAGGGACCCCTTCTCCATCCTGTCCACAGATTTGCTCTCCAGCTCGCTCCTGTCCTGGGCTGAGCTCACTTCTGCTGTGCTAAGAGCAAGCATCCAGGGCTCACTTGCCTGGAGTTCAGCTCTCTCTCTCAGCTAGAGCCCCCTGCTCTGTACCTCCCCTTCTCCTGTCACATTCCATCAGTGCCATGCTCCAGCTCCTGGCTCTGGGTGAATGATGGTCTCTGAGTCTCCCATCTAAACAGTGAGGGTGGCGCTGAAGGCTGAATGCTGCTGCCGTCTGGTGATAATTCCTGACCAGCTCTCCCCCTCGGCTACAGGGCTCTCCATGCCCAGGCCCAGAATCCAGGTTCAGGCCCTCTTCATGGCCAGACCACTGGGAGCTCTGGGTGGGTGGGAGCTGCTCTGCTCTGGTCTGTGCCTGCGTGGATGGGCAGAGCTCGCTCCCAGGCTGTCTCCACCTCTGACTCTGCAGCCTTATTTCTGCAAAGGGTGGGGCAGGGGCTCAGCTTCTGTGGGCTTGCCCTGGGGTGGGGAGGGCCAGGCTCTCTGAGTGGCTCCAGTTGGGGAGTGGACTCCAGGTTCCCACAGTGACCAGGGACACTCACCTCTCAGGGAGGCCAGCCCGCTCCACCATTCCCCTGAGGAAGAGAGCCAGTGTGGGCTGGGGAACGTGCTTTCCATGTGGGCAAGCAGCTCACCCCTTGTCCTCTGCACAGCACACTCCTAGGGCATACTCTGGCCCCTGCCAGCTGCCTGTGGCCCCTATCAGCACCCCCATGTTGGAGATGAGGAAATTGAGGTTCAAAGAGTTTAGGCAACACGACAAGCCCCATTGAGTTAGTAAGTGAATTTGAACCGAGGTCTATGAGCTGCTAAGCCAGAACACTTTAGAGCTTGTGGACCTTGTAAACTGAGGGGCACCCCAAGTCTCCCCACAGTGCAGAGCCTGGGCCAAAGATGGAGCCTCCAATGAGGTGGATGAGGATGGCTCAGGGTTGGGCACAGGGCATCTGAGTACAGGGAGCCTGGAGGTGGTGTAGAAGGGCCTTTGCCATGGTAGAGAGCAGTGAGGCAGCTTCACCCTTCTGGGGAGGCAATTGCAGTGCTCCCCCGGATCCTGGGGTGGTGATGGGGCTGCGGATCACAGAAGCAATCGTCCTTGCTTTGTCAGAGGGTCGCCTCATGACTCTCCAGAGTGCGTGAGCCTCAGGGCTTCAGGGACACCCCCAGTCTGCCTCTGGTCTTCTCAGCCAGAGGGAGGCGCTGTTGTTTTTCTCTGACCTCCTGGGCTTTCCTGCCCTGGCAGTACCCTTCCCTACCCCAGAATGCCCTTCCCGCCTCTCTGCCTACCCAGCTTCTCCTTGTCCCTGGGGCCTTGTTCAAGCTTCCTGGCCCCATGCCCTGAGCCCCTCTGACTTCCTTGGGGGTTCCTAGTGCTGCCCCAAGACTCCCATACCTAGACCTACTCCCTCTGGCTGTAGTTCTCGGAAACCAGATCTGATGCCCAGCCCAGCCCTCCCTCTCTGGCACCCCTACAGGGCTGCAGCCCCAGCCACCTGCTCATCCTGGGTTCTCAGTCCCGCCCTGACAGGTACAGGAATTTAAATCACCCTCAGTTGAAGACTCAGGAGAAAAATGTTTTCACACAGGCCCTTGGGGCAGGGTGGGGGTTACCCTGCTCCACCCTACCCCTCCCAGCCCCACCCCACACACCCAACTCCTTGGCTTTGCACCTAGTGCTGACTGTAGCCACAAGTGCCAGGCCTTCTGTGTACCGCAATTGCAGAGCAGTTTCCCTGTGAAGTCTGGGCCAGCAACACAAATGCTAAGGCCACCAGGTGGGGCAGGGCTGCTCTTGAGGAAAGTGGAGGGCGGAGTGCAGAGGTGGGGTGACTCTGGGGCTGAGAAGTGCTGAGGTTGTGCTGGGCTTGCAGAACAGACGGCAGGTGGGGAGGCTTGTCACCCCACGCTGGGTGCTGTTGCTGAGGATGTAGGAAGATGGTCACTTCCCTTTCACTTGGGGAAATGGACAAGCAGGAGATTTTCCCTCCGTTCTTAACCCAGAGACACTTCTGCCCTCCCCTCTCACCCATTCGAGCCCACGTGAGGTGGTGCGTGCTGGGCTGCCGAGGAGTAGACATTGGACTTGGCTTCTAAACCAGTGCTCGGTAACAGTAACGAAGTACGGAAATAATCAACTTTGAAGGAGCAAAGTTTTTAATGCATTTTCAGAGGGCTCAGTTTGTGGTCAGCTCCATTGCTTTTGGGCCTGTGGTAAG